TTATTATTATTATTATTATTATTATTATTATTATTATTATTATTATTATTATTTCAGCTGGAGGGCCGAAATGCAAGTTACGATAGCGCACCGTCTTTTCGGATGAGTCATTTTTAAGCCGTTGGTCCCGTGAGCGTTATGGCCCATGTGCACGTTAAAGAACGCAGTACACACTTTGGAAAAGAGTAGGGGATTGTCTCCCGGTGTACTGCCCAATCACCACCAGAAGGACCCCACTGGAAATAAGTCTTCTTCAGACTTTCTTGGGCTTCCTTGGTCTTTACACCAAATGAATCCATTCATATAAATACAAAAATACCCAATGATTTTTCCTAAGTTGTTTTTTTTTCCATTCCGTACGTCAAAAGTTACATAATATGAGGATCGGAAGAGTAATCATCGTTTCGATGTCTATTGTGACTAATATTGGTCAATCAATTTGTAGCCAAAATCAAATTAAAACATTTTCCATTACGTTTAACAAATTAGTAACGCTGTAGTGCAGTATTATCATACCGTTGTCTTGTCCACTTCATAATTAAGACCTAACGACTCACAAACAACGCCTGTCATGTTATAATCTCCGGCTTTTTGTTAATTGTTTTTTGGTAAACTTTTGTAGATGGTATATTTTTTATAGTATCATCTAAACATACCCTGTGAATATGAAAATAATTCCTATAGGCCTGTTACAATTTCTTGAACCTTTGCCTTATGTAGAAAAAATTAAAATTATCTAAAGAGGTGAAAATAAATAAAAGCTTTACATAAATAATAAAAAGTTATTACTTTTAATATTTGTAACATGGTAATTATCACTGAATTGTTTAAATATACTGCTAGCTGTTGAAATCATGTATATCTTGGGCACGTACGTACGTATATACAGGACGGGTCGAAATATTTTTTTTTTATATATATGTTGCATTTTTAGTCTACCAAATCGTTGATGTTTCGATGTATGAATTAGTACCTTATAATGTATTACTGTATGTGAAATGTAATAGAAAAACATACTAAGTACAAATTCGAATTGACTTCATAATGTTCATAAATTTATTTATTTCTACTTGAAAAACTTTATATAAATACCAATGTCAATGACAATGGAGGAAACACGAGAGAAAAAGCTAAAAAAAAAAAACGCATATAATTTCGTTAAATGATCCGACTAAGTAATCCACCACCATTACGAAAAAAAAAAACTTAAATGCGTTAAAAAAATAATCTTTGGCTTTGTTAAAGGAAGAAAATCAAGTAGATGTTAGTTGCTTTGGTAGTGAATTTTTAAACCTCGGGTCCAAGGTAAAAATTGATATATTTTTCTTCTGCCGTTTAGTCTAATGATATGTGGAAGTGACTACCCTGCCTATGTATAATAAATAAATTGTAAAATAAGTACCATTGCTAACATAAAAATACAAACATGGTAACTAAATAAAAGATAAAACCCAGGTCGTCCCGAGTTTTCCGAAACCCGCGGACGGTCTCCCGGAATCGGGACGGCCTCCCGCACTAACGCAAGCAAGCAAGAATCTTAAGCCATCTCCGCAAAATTACGATTTTGCATTTTCTCACTGCTTTATTATCAATTTTCTAACGGAGGTGCCAATGGGTATCTCTATCGACAGCAAAATAAAATTAAATGTGAAAGCACATTAACCAGATCAATGGCAGACTCGGGGGAGGGTGATATGAGGGAGCCGGTCCGTGCCCACTAACTATTTTAAAATAATTTTTTAAGTTTTAGAGGACCATTTCCGGCGATCCAGAGGTGCCATGATCATAAATTTTCTTACCTCAGCTCCAACTATGGTGGGGCTGAAGTGGTCTTGACCCTCCGTCTGTGAATAAAATAATATCTACTAAATTAACCACAACTAAATGACTAATTAATGATAGGTGTAAATATTTTAAATACATTGTTTGGTGATTTAATTTCGGATGTCACCAGGATCGAGGCTTTTGTTATGCTCTTAGCCTTAGCAGCATTGCCAAACAATCCATGTTCTGAGACTAGTGTTATAAACATGGATTTTTGTGGGTTTAAGATACATCAAGAAATTCTGAGACTAACTTATTAGATTTAGACACATTTTTAGCAACAAGATTGGAGCCGATAATGGAAATCAGAAAATTACGTAAAAGTAGTAGACATTTTTATGACCCGCTTCATGACGTCACCGAGAATACCAAAACCGATCAGTATAAAAATTAAAATAATAGGCCTATATTGCATTCTTATGAGAAACAAGTTAGCGTCATCTTGCTGTGCAGTTGACTAGGATGGTGATTAAAATTCCTGTCTACCAATCCTAGGACCCTGGCTTCCGAGTTCAATTCTCCCGTATTGGAAATCATAATCATAATCATTTGCCAATGCCTAAAACAAGTAAAATAAAAAGAATAACAACATGTAAAACTCTGTCCCAGATTATCAAATTATTGTATGCTCATATATGGTCATGATGTGCCTATATATGGTGATGATGTGATGTCATCACGACCATATTTAGGCATGTCACATGTTTTTGTCAAACAAAATTTGATAGAATGGACAGGGCTTTTATTCTGTCCAGGTTATCAAATTTTCTTTGACAAAAAACTGATGTATGCCCATTTATAGTCATGATGTGCCTATATATGGTCATGATGTGATGTCATCATGACCATATTTAGACATGTCACATGTTTTTGTCAAATAAAATCTGATAGTCTTGACAGGGCTTAAAACATATTCGCCTATAATTCTGGTGAAGCAGCAAATTCAACATAATCAATATAGCCATCGTTGTTCAGATCATCTTCATCAAATATCGGTTCCAACATGTCCAGAAGTTCTACATCGCTTAGGTAGAATTTCTCTTCTTCATCTGGCTCATCCCCATGGTGAAAATCAGTCATCGCTTGGATGAGCTCGATGCCGTCCAGCAAGTTGTTGTTGTCGTAATCGTGTACCTTGAAGTAATAGAACTGATATTCCTCATCCGTCATTTCTGATGTTGGTTTGTCTACGATGTTGTCCAAATGGTGCATAATGTGACTGCAAGTAGAAAAAATACCACAATACATAGTAGCTTTGATTTATATACTAATTTGAGAACACAGTTTCAAATAACCAAATACCAATCTTTTAAGCTAACCCTCTAATTGGTGACCAACACCCGAGACCACCCCAAATTTTCAGGTAACAAAGGTGATCTCGAATTTAAGGGCCAACTGTTTTGTATTTCATATAGAAATTAAATATAAATAGAAATGGAATTTAATTCCAACCCACCAATGAAAAAACAGGAAAACATGTATTGGGTGACTGACTTAAAACTCTACAAGCATACCTTGTTTTAAAAGCTTTTCATTTTGAAACAAATTACATACAGTATTTACTTTATATGAATAAGTTTATTCATTATAGATGGGAAAAATATTAATATTCGATGTCACCCGATGTAAATTGCCCTCCTTCAGTTATATCCAAATTTTGTTTTTGACTATTACCATAAAAATATATTTAAAAAGTATAATTTTGCTGGGAAGTTTGCAATTAGTTAAAATGAAATTATATTTAATAGTGAGCATCAAAGAGTAATTTAAAATTAATAATATCATTACAATAAACATTATTTTTCACAATATATGAATAATGAACACTCGAAGAACAAGCAACTGTACACCAATTCAAAATATAGAAATATAGAAGTTTATTGCTTTTCGTATAGTAGTGGTGGTAATTTAACATCGCTATCTACTTTACCCCCAGGTCAGAGCAATTACAATAAAACCTTAATTCAGACTGAGCTGCAGCATGGCGTTGTAGTCGAACCTGCACAGGCTGAGTGCCCGTCTCTCTCTTTCTTTTGCATTTGGGGCAAACGCACAATGCTGTGAGGGGATTGCCACTGCTCCTCACAGCGAGTCTGTTTACCTACCCAGCATATGCCGGTACCCATTTAAAATACTCCTAGGTAGAGAGTGACAAACACATATAAAATTTCTTGCCCAAGAGTACAATCAACCCACCCAGCGAGGACTTCCACTATCTTTAAATGGGTGTTGTAACCCAGATTAAAGTAGCCTCAATATGTTACACATTGGTAACTCAAAACATTTTCTGCATTAGTGGTTCAAAATGCAAATGCTTATAGAATTACAAACATGCACTCGTTGTGCATGATTCATATCTTGTTGAAACATGCTAATTAAAATAGAGAGCTGATTATTTTATTGAATGATGGAAACTATTTTTTACTACAGTGCACCGTCCCAATTCGAGACCCCTCTAATTCCGAGAGTCCGAGTCGTTCTAATTTGAGACAAATAATTCAAAGAACCAAATAACAATCTCTAATCTTTTAACATGAAGCTAAGTTAAATGGCCAAGCGGTTAAGGCAGGGGCACTGCTACGTACAGCCATAATATCAGCACTGGTTCGAACTGCATGTTCGTCTATGGAACATGTGCACTTCAAAGAACCCAGTGTAGTGGCCCATACAGTGCCCAAGCGGTTAAGGCAGGGGTGCTGCAATGTACAGCCATAATATCGGCACTGGTTTGAACTGCAATCTCGTCTATGAAACATGTGCACTTTAAATAAAACAGTGTATTGGTCCATTCAGCCCCTGTTGTAGATTTAGAGAGTAGCTGGGACCGGTTACTTGTTAGCTCAGACACGAAGAGACACCTCCTTGAGACTTCAGTATAAAGCGCTATATAAATCCAACTATGTTAAATTAACTTTTTTCAGTTTCCAAAGGTGGCCTCAAACTGAAAGGGTGAACTGTATTTAGTTATATCTTTGTTCTATTATAAATAATACAATTACTAATGGATGGATTAAAAAATTCATATACTGTACTGTATAATTATTGCTCAACTTCATTTTTAACACCTAAAAAAGGACTAATTTGTTATGATGTAATACTGTAACTTGTTATGATGTAATACTGTAACTCCTGATCAACATATATCTCATCTACTGTACATACTGTATATGGACTAATCTCATTTTCATATACATCTCCTCTCATAGATAATCTATTTTAACCATATCTAAAATACAATGGTCATGGATGACTACACAAGAGGTCATCATGTGACCTTCACTTCCTATTGTTGTGCATTTGCATATTCAGGGTAATCAATGTAGCCATCATAATTAATATCATATTCATCAAACACATCCGCCACTAATTTTATGATGTCATCTTCCGCCATCTTGCCTTCTCTCTTCTGGTCTTTTTCATCAAAATGAAACATCGCTTTCATGATTTCTAATCCATCTAGGCGATTATTCTGATCATAATCATGTAATTTGAAATAATAAAATTCAATTTCATCGTCCGTCATTTCTCGACCTAATTCTTCGGGACTGACGATATCTTGAAGATGTTCTCGTATATGTCTGCGGAAGCAAGGAGAGGGCGGCGGTTAGGCACTGCTAAAACCCAAGTGAAGTGATAACAAATGATCTCTGTTGGTTACACTTCCACATACAATTCATGAATGATGTGAAATACAATGGAAAGTCACTCATAGATTCGTAATAACATTCAGCATTAGTTCAATTTCTATTTTAAGTTTTTTTTTTTAGGTTAAGATGTTAATAAAGTAGCTTTTAAAAGATATGATGAATAGGAATTGGTAAAAGAATTTACAGAGTGGTGGGTACATCACTTGGGTTTTGGCAAGATGAAGGGGTGCAGGGAAGGTAAACATAAAATAGTAAACAAAACATTAAAATATATAAAATTCTACAAAACAAAAAATCCAATACGAAAATATGTACAGTAATTGCACTTTAGACAAAGCTCTGTCGACACTATAAAATTTTGTGACAAAAAAAATGTGATATACCCATATTTGGATGCACTATGACATCATCATTCCCATATATGGGCACATCACACAAATTTTGCACTTAAAATATGATAGTGTACACAAAGCTTAAATTAGTGCACACTTATAGAGTTAAGAAATGAGAACACTTACTCCTTATCATGGACATGATTTTTATCCCTGAGTTTATTGGTTCTACCTTCTATGTCGCCCTCTTTAGTTTGAGTATTAACAGGCACTTGTGGTGGAAGATTAGCTTGATTGATAATCTAAATTTAAAAACAAAGAAATATGTTTACTGTCTACCGCTGCAGGTCCTTGGGTATAAACCCACCTTAAGTAAATGCCCCCCTTTTTTTACCCCCAATTTTTGACCAGCCTTTCCTTGGGTAAAATGAGGCCTGGGTATAATTAGCTGACTTTTACAAAATAAATACTCTCTAAAAAAAATTGGGGAAAAAAAAGAAAATTAATCAAATTTAGGTCTGAGAGTGCCATTTCCGGCCATCTAGAGGTGTCATAATCATAAATTTTCTTACCTCAGCCCTAACTATGGTGGGGCAGAGGTGGTCTAAACTCTCCATATGTGAAGTCCCTCCCTTCCTGGGACCCCCTCTATTTCGAATTCTTGGATCCGCCACTGAAGTATATTATTATCATTGAATAAATTCACCAGCTTCCAAGAATTATGTGATTAAAACATTGCTAAAGCAGTATCACTGGGTAAATTTTTCCAACAATACTGCTTCAACAAAAAGAACGTTTTAATCAAAAAATTATTTTTATCACAGGCCTAAGGTATAAATCAGATTTGAACAGTTACAACCAGACTGTAAAGTAAGGCCTGTGCTGTGAATGTATCCTCTGCGCAAAAATTTGGCCTAGAAATTAGTCCAGGTGCCGCATTTGGAAAATAAGGGCCGATTTCCGCGCATATTTTGCAGAAAATTTGGCTTTGACCTAATCTTAATACATAAGCAATTACGATTCTGCGCACCAAACTGTCCTAGTGATTTTCCATGCAAATTTGAGCTGGTTTTTGCGGTATTATCCGTGCAATCGCAAACCTTTACAGTATGGAGTTACAATCATCTTACAGGTTGTTGTTGTTGCTGTTGTTTAAGTTGATTTTGAACATGAATGCTCTCAATAGGTTGTTGCTGTTGTTGGTGCTGCCCTTGTTGTTGTTGGTGCTGCCCTTGATTCATCTCTATCTGCCCAGCAACATACACAATGCACAAACCAAACAGCGCCCTTCTCAACGCCATTTTATAATATATTTAGGCCTGGGTAGGCCTGTGCATAAATCTGTTAGAAATAACATGGAATATTTATTGATTCTTAATTTAATTGTTTTAAATAATACATTTTTTACATAATTTCTATAATAATTTTTAAAGTATTAATATTATTTCATTCTTTAATTTAAACTTATTTTGTAATAAAATTGATTCCTAGACTAGGCCTAGTAGGCCTCCAGTCATCAGGCCTTATTAAGTTCACTGAAAAGGACTAGGCCTAAGTAGGTATGAATTGGGTCAGAATTTAGGCTTACCGTAGGCCGCCTAACTAGGCTAGCTAGGGCAGCCTGCAGGCGTATTATTAGTAAGCCTATTCGCCTAGGCCAGTGTATACTTTTTGTAGGCTAGCCTATTCTTAAGCCATACTATCACAATAATTAATAATTAATAATACTAGTTATTATTGCTAATATTTTATATCATTAATAATGAGAAGTAATTGCAAGTTAATAATTAATAATAATTAAACATACGTACCAAAAAACAAAGGACTAAAATAAACAGCTGTCTGGAAAATAATCTAGGTCTGATGAATTACGCCCTCTATAAAATAGTAGCGTGGCGCGGTTGTTGTGGTCAAAAATCTTGAACAAGGTCAAAGGGATCCTGGAACCTGGACCCGGAGGAGAATGATAAACTCATGTAATGAGATGATCAAACAAGTCGATGAGGTAGGCATCCTGTCTTTAATTTGATGATGTAGGCCTAGGGTAGCAGGTGTGTATTGCAAACATGCCCTCCTCTAGGCCTAATAGGCTTCCTACGACCTAGGCTAGTCCCTACCAACCACAAGTGCTGAAATATATGAGGCCTCCTATTCCTACTACTACTACTGTAGTACTATCTAGAGAGAGAGAGAGAGAGGCCGTAGTGTAGTGCCAGGGCCTTACTGTAGTTACACATGCATGCTCTGTAGGCCTAGCTAAGGGCCTCCTAAACTAAACTTTGCATTTTTATGAAATAGAGTACAGTAGGCCTAGGTTCAGAAGATTTAAGTGCATTAGCTTTCATGACAGTGGTATTATCTTTAATATTTTAAAATATATATCATACACCAACAATTTTACTCAAATCTGAGTTTTTGATAGGTGGAGCTTGCTTGAAACTATCCTAAACTTCACTCTCGCAATCTCAATGCACTACTGTCGGAACAATGTTAATCTCCTAAATTATTCGGATAGTACATGTTGGACCACCTGAAACCTTGCATGAACAAACAATTATACAATATAATTATATAAAAGAAGATAAATATTTTTTTTACCTGTAGCCTTTAATGAATAAAATGTCTTTAAGGTGTTTGAACCAATTGTACATAAACAAATCATTTCCATTAAGACTGAATAACTAAATCCAAGTTTTAAAAAGTTATAAATATAACTGTTGGTCCTTTTGAAACCTTTTGAATGACAGGTTGATGAAACTGTTTCAGCCAATAGTTCTGCTTCAAGCTTCACAATGAAAACAAACCGAGATGTTGAGGCTTTCTTGAGAACAACTACTCCTTTTGCTGACAATAAACATGCTGGGGATACAAACCAAGGTACGTACTGTAGGTCTCGTCAAGATTATTTTAAGCTTTGCACTTCTTGTTGTGAGGTCGTGGGTTCGAGACTGATGTTTATCACACCTCCTGTGTGTCCTTGAACAAGACACTTATCTATGTTAGCCTCCCTTCACCGAGGAGTGAAAGTGAGTACTTGGTGATCGATTTGGAATCAAATTAGTGCTGATTATTCAATTCAATTCAATATAAAGTTATTGCAAAACAAATACAAGTTTTGAAATGTACAATAAGATATTAAGAAGGCACATAAACAGTAAAATCCTAAAAAAAGCGACATTCTCACAAGGAAGAAAAATAAAAATCACATAGTTAAAATTATTATTAAAATTTCTATTATTATAAAACCGATTATTACAATTAATTATTATTATTATTACTATTGCAATTATTACAATTTATTATTATTATTACTATTGCAATTATTATCATTACGATTGCAATTATATAAAAAATTAGTATAAAACATAAAAAGGAAAAAAATAAAAGAACATTATATGGAAAGAAAAAAGAAAAAACATTGCAAAATTAAACCCAAACAAGGTCTTGGTTCTACCAATATTTATAATAAAGTATTTTGATCTTTTTGTTTTAACATTAGGAATTTGGAATTGTTGTGAAGAACCGAGAGTATAATCATGTCACATGGTTCCGGAAGAAAGCAATTTAATATATGATTGGCATTTTTAAGTTTAACAAAATATTTTTTGCACAAATCATTCCGCCTAGTGCTAAGTTCAGGGACATTAGCCACACTTATTTTTACTTTATTACGCATTACAAAGAATACTCCCCAGGGGGCAAAGGGGATTTCACATTGTGTATGATTGGTCTCATTCCAGTGACCAAGGGAAAAATTCACCTTTGGCAATTCTTCTGGATGTGTTCCCTATATAAATCCTCTCAAAGTAAATACTCCGTTTCCATTATAGCTTTACAAAAACGAAAATTTGTCATCCACCTTTACTATTGTTGTGATTATTTTTTATTGAAGTTGAATGTTTGATATCAGCGCTACGAGAAACGCTTCTTACACATCGCTGGAAGGAGGCCAGTGACGTTCTAAGTGTCCTGTCCCATCATTCAATATGGACAGTCCGTGACTACACGTGGAAGGTTGGTATTTTGAATTTTATAATAATGGCATTTAGATATGTTTAGATTGAAGTAATAGTATGAATATGATGTACAAGTGTCTTGTGATTTAAAACAATAACCATAGAATGCATTTTTACATCATGTATAATCACTGATATTATTTTGCCATTGGTATTTTATTTTTGGATGTACTAATTTTCATTTTATTATTTATTTCTTAAACAAAGTACATACAGAATATGCATCAAAAGAATATACTAGTGTGTATATATATATATATAAAATATATATATATATATAGTAATAAAAATCAGTGGACGAAAACGTAGAGATAGAGAAACTATCAGCATAACTGATTTTGTTGGTTTTTACATCAGAGACAATACAACCATATTTAGACTAAGGGTTCAAGTTATTATTCAGATAATTTTTTTTATTTAGTAACTACTAAGAATAATTTATCATTTGGTTGTAAGCGCCATCTTAAATCAATCTTATTGGACAATTTCTTATTTTCCTCCACTCTCTCTTGTTCTGTGTTTGTAATCTTTCCTTTATTTTTGTAGTTTTACTTCTGCTGATTTCTTTTCCATTTTCAACCATATATCCTGGTTTTGGTCTTTTCTGTTGGTCTGAAATACTCATAGAGACGAATGCAGTATGTGGTATACAAGTGAACGTCCATTGAACTTTGACCATTCCAGGATAATATAATTATTGGTCACTGTATCTATGATGTATTTTTTAATGGTATACAGTACAGATTCCAGGCAGAATATCTCTTGACTTTTTTGTCTTTAAAAAAACATTTATTCTCTGTTTTATTTTTATCTAGTGTGGTGCAGAGGTTGTCTTCAGTCATCCATCATCTAAGCCTGAAGATGTTGAATTATTCTTTAGGTAAAACTCTAAATGATCGAAATGGTTAAAGTATCTATCGGGTGGGATCCAGTGCAAAATCTTGATGGGGGCCATGTGACATGTGATGCACCGAGCAGGGGAGGGGGATGTGTTTGAGATGACACTGGTACATGGAATTTAAATAAAAACTTTTTTTGGAATGCTGTGAATCCCTGTTCCTTCTTTTATTTTTTTTCTTTACCCTTTTTTTTCTCCCATTATTTGGGAGCCATTCAACTCGCTAATAGGGAGATTTATTGATAAGCAAAACCAAAAATATTGACAGATAAACATTTTCTCTATTTTTTTCAGGAAGGTTCAAACATCAAATTTCTATCATTGTAGACAGAAGCAGATGGAAAAGGTTTTCCACCTCCTTCGGGAAAACAGACTTGAAGAAGCATATCAGGAAATTCAGGATAAGACTGGAAAAGCTGGCATGAAAACAAAGTGGGAGGAAATGTTGGAAAAGGAATGGAAGAAAGTGATAATAGCATATACGGGACTTGTAGAATTTGCACTTTGGACTCAAAAGAACCAAACTGAAAATGGTGGGAGTAGTACAGGTAAATTATTATTATAAGAATTGCTAGAAAGAAAAAAAAAACTTATGTGAATGTCTGTAATGTGCATAGTAATGATTCATGACTTTTTTAATTGGCCCTGTAAGAATTTATTAAAGAATTTATTTTAAAAAGACGGTGCGCTATTGTAACTTGTATTTCAGCCCTCCAGCTGAAACACAAGGAGAGGCAGCGATGGGAATTGAACCGGAGACCTAGAGATCTCCACGGTTGAGCGCACACACAATGGCTTACACCAGATTACCCGACTGAACTTAGCTGCTCCCTCTTAATTTAAACATTTGATACCTTTTTATTTTGAAGAAGTAAACTTGTCTGATAAACATGGAGAGCTAGCAACCAACAACCTCAAGTCAATTTTAGATAGCCCTGGGATCTGGGATGTTTTTATTACTTGTTATGTAGAGGTAAGCTGTTCGACTTTAATGTAGGAATGATTTAACATTTATATTAATCAATTAAGCAATCAATCATTCAGTCAGTTAATATAGAAATGGTTTGATGATTATATCAATCAAGGATTATAAATCAATCAATCAAATTATTCACTCAATCATTTGACTTGTATAGAAATGGTTTAATTTTAATATTAGTCCATCATTCAATCAATCATTTAACTTTTATATAGAAATTGTTTACACATCAATTCATTATCACTTTATCTTAATTTTTATAGAGGTAAATTCTTAAATAATTAATCCTTAATTTACAGATATCCATTAATATACTGAACCCTTTCAACAGCAGTGGTTGTTGGTGTTACAATAATAAACTTTTCAAACTTCTAATTTAAACATTCCAGACACAGTTGCGGATCCAGGAATTCAAAATGGATGGGGCCCGGGGGAAGTACTTTCACAGATGGAGGATCTGTACCACCTCAGCCCCACCATCTTCGGGGCTGAGGTAAGAAAATTTGTGATTATGGCACCTCTAATTGGCTGGAAATTGCACTCTCATGAAATTTGAATATATTTTCTTTATATCTCCATTTTTAGTTCCTATGCATGTAATGCAATAGGAACTATTGTAATCACTCTTCACTGTTTTTCCTGTCTGTAGTGTGTGTGCGTGTGTGTGTAGACATTTATGCAAATGTGCATGCGTCAAAGAAAAGTTTTTCCGACATTTTTGTTATACCTCGCGATGATGCGAAGTTCGATGTGAAGTTTCTGCAGTGTTTCAGTCAGGGCTCACGCTAACCGATTGGCAAGTCGGCATGGATGAAACTATGTTGGTTTTGTGGCAAGATAAAATTAACTGCTGTAGGCATAGGCATTTTTGAAGAAGGCCTAAAATTTAAAAAAAAGGTTTTAATACTTGCTGAAATACATCATTTCTTCATTTAGATCTCCATTGTTCGCTACCTCCATGCGACGTTTTTTTCTGTTGTATGAGTAGTCATATAAAGGTACTTTATGTGGTAGTATACATAGCAGAGTGACGGCAGCAAGGCTAGGCATAGCCTAGGGCCTAGATCGTGTACGTTCTTGATCATCGTGATGAAAAATTCGGGTGACAGACGATTGGGCCCAACTGGTGTGGATGATCGTGCCCAAGCTATTTTCAAATAAATTGTAGTCTAGTAGGCCACTGCCAGCTTCCCCACTCCTGACATTGTTCCAAACTACAGTACTGTAAAATGAAAATACTGTATACCTAGCTAGGCCTATGAAATTTTTTCAAAGAAATTTGCTAAAAATATTACTGTAATTTGCCTATCAAATTACATTACCAATGTGGTCTAAAATCACTATTTTGGGCCATAAAGTCTCCCCCTGAATTTTTCAACCACCACACAAATTTGACCCAACCATATTTTCTGATTATGTCATTTATGATGAAATCAGAAAATATGGTTGGTTAAGTCATGTAGCATGTACATAGGAACATTGGCACCTGCAAGGCTCTGGTTTAAAAATTTTGAACAATTTAGGGATGGGGGGGGGGGGAGAGGCTGAGAGACAATTTTGTGGGTGATAATATTTCTGAACCAAAATCAATCATTTTTGTTATCACACTACAATATTTAATCTCAGATGTCCCAAATTGGAAAAAAACTCACTTCCGAGTTGTCTGGTTAACTGACTTATCGGCACTGATTTCCAGGAGACAGCTGAATGCTGTTGTAAAAAAAATTAAATATCAAGAATTTGCAGGAGATGGGTTATTTTCAATGAGATTCTTACTTGCTCCCATGAGTGTGGGAGGCCATCCTAGCTAAGCTCAGTGGGCTAATCTGGTGGTAGCCACTGTGTGTGCGCTCAACCGTGGAGATCTAGGTCCCCGGTTCAATTACCATCGCCGCCTCTCCTTATGTGTTTCAGCTGGCAGACTGACATACTAGTTACAATAGCGCACCGTCTTTCGGATGAGACATTTAAGCTGTTGGTTCTGTGTGCATTTATGGCAGATGTGCACAGATGTAGGGGATTGTCTCCTGGTGTACTGCCCAATCACCACCAGAAGGACTCTACTGGAAATAAGTCTTCTTCTAGACTTTCGTGGGCTATATTAATCCTCTGTGTTTACCCCGAATAAATCCAATCCCTATTTTCAAGGAGACTCCAACAACTTGTGGGAAGATTTGGGACCCTTGGAACAGTTGAAAGTGAACTGAACAATTAATTTTATCTACGTGTTCAACTTTTTTAGTTGAGAAAGCATTATGATGACGACGATGAGTTGCAGTCAGTGCTGGTCAAGTACAACGAAGACAATCCTGACAATCCTAATAGTTACGTGTACCTCTACCAATACCTACAATCCATCGACAGTCCATTGGAAAAGCAGCTTCCAGTTTTGGAGGTGAGATTAACATTTATTATATAGGAGTGATTTTTTGCTTTAACTGACATGTTATTGTACCGAAAACAGTACGTTCCCAAATAGTTGCGAAAAAAATTTGGAAAAAATAGTGATTTGGGTGGGAACCGAACCCACAACCTCCGGAAACTAAACTGGTGTCGTAACCACTAGACCACCGAGCATGCGCTTAGTGACTAATGTTGAATCCGAACCAAACATCACTCCTATGATATTTTTCTGATGATCAAAATAATATTTATTGTGTTGTTGGCTATTTTCTATTACGTATTAATATTGATGTTAATATTTTAAAAAATCAAATTTTAGTGTAAGAAATATGAAGCTATATCATTAATATTAATTTAACTGTTTCATTTGTTCATAATACTATTAACATCAATATTAATAACAGCAGCAGTAACAAAGTAATGATGATAATGATAAACTTCACGATAATTTATTTTGTACATCCTGGTTTTATGACCTGATCTAACAATTTTTATTGATGAGATACAGCTTTTTATTTTCTTTATTAGAAACTTGTTGAGAAAGTCCCCTCCAGTGAGCTTGTATTGGATCTCCACCAGTGCTTTCATCTCATTGGACGAAAAAGAAAATCCAAAGCTGGTTAGTGTTTCTAAATTTAAGCAAAATCTTGTTTTTTAAAACATTTTTCTGAAGAGGGCGCTATACTGAAAAAATAAAGCTTGTTTTTATGAAATTTCAATTGCAGGGTTGTGCTTCATTCTAAACTCAAATGTATAATAATTGCTGATATTACAGTTTTCGAACCATAACCAAGTCAGAAATGTGGTATTACATGAAATTGACATGACATTGTTGTAGATTAAATCTTAATATTTATATAGGTTTCTTTCATAAATTAAAAACCCCTTCAAAAACGAACTACTTTCAATTAAAGGCCACTGTTCTGTGTCCCAGATAAATGTCTATCTTTTATTTTGAGGATAATTGTTTTTTTGAGCGGCCAAAGCTGCTAACAACATTGGTAATGGCTGTAGACTTGTATAGCGCATATTACCAGGTCTCTATGTGCTATCAATAAATTTTTAAAAATTGAATAAAAGAAACAAATTTGATAAAGAAGAGACAATGAAAAAAGGAACAACAAAAACCATCAAAAAAAATGAAATACAATTAGATGGATGAGACAATGAAAACTCATCCCAAAAGTGATCTAAAATTGGAGCTAGCACAGTCAGCTAAACTGGTGTTAGCCACCGTGTGTGTGCTGAACCGTGGAGATCTCTTGGTCCCCAGTTCAATTCCCATCGCTGCTTTCCTTGTGTTTCAGCTGGAGTGCTAACATGCAAGGTTCAAAAGCGCAGTGATTCGTTTGAGACATAAGCCATTGGTCTTGTGTGCAAAATGGTCTCTGTGCGCATTAAAGAATGCAGTAAAAGTTTCGGAAAAGAGTAGCGGATTGTCTCCCAGTGTACTTCCCTATCATAACCAGAAGGGCCCCACTGGAAATAAGTCTTCAGACTTTTGTGGGTTATCGTTATCGAATAAGTCCATCCATCCATCCAAGAATTTTCCATCAATAATGTTAATTCCATTGTTGCTTTCAATATGATGTAGTTCAAAAAATATTGGCGTTTCACGTCTGATGATTTTTTTGCATCATCGTATTATAGCTGAATATAAAAGGAGATGCATCACCATCCTGTTTACCATGCTAGACTATGTATGTTGGCAGAGTTCTTTAAAACCCTGGAAGTTATTTTATGAAGATATAAACAAAGCAATTACAAGGTAACTAATTTAACTAAATTATTCTAATTCCTTAAAAAAAAAAAAAATACATACAAACATTAATGTGTATTGATGGGCATTTTTGATGTTGTAGTATTCTTATCAAAATTGCAATGAAACTTATAACAGCAATAATCATTGCAACACCACAATTTATATTAACAACTGTCATTAAATGATTTATATAATTATCATTAACTAATCATACTTTAGTAGATTAATTTATTGTGTTTTCTACAAATTCATGTCATATTTTCAGTTCATGCATTATATCTCGTGTTAATCTTGACATGTACTCACATGTATTAGTGTGATAGGTATTTCATCCATTACCAGTTACAGTGTGTTAGAATTTAATGTCTATTAGGCAACTCTATTTGGCCAGTAATCCTGTACCATAGGCAAGACTTTTTTTTTATACCTTTTACTGTATAGCAAACTTACAACTGCCAATAATGGTGATTTTATTTTTGGCCAGTTAGCACACCTCCACCACGAAAAAAAGAAATTTTAGAAAATAGATTAATTTGTAAAAATATATTTTATAACGCTTTCCGTTCACCTGAAATATCCTAAAATGAGATATATATATTTCTTCCTTAATCATATAAATTTAAGCATTTATCGATCTCATTACTACACTGTTTACATTCATCAATATCATTTTATTTTTATTTTTTCCTCTGCCTAGATGCTTTTGGCAAATAAGAAAACATTTTTTTTTCCATCCTCCTCTGAAAATCTTTTGGAAAAATAATTTCGCTAAACAAGGTATTAAAAGTCTTGCCTTTCCTACACTCCACTTCTTTCTTTTTTAAGGATTGTTTATATACCGTAAAACCTTGAATTGAAGCCCAGTGGGCTTAATCACAGTATGAAGCCCAACTCGGATTGAAGCCACCCTCTTTAGTTTGCAAAATTAGCCTCGAAAAGAAGCCCATCTCAAAAAGAGGCCCATGGGCTTCTTTTAAAGATAGCATAGGCTTCTTTTCGAGATAGTACAAGTAAATACACTGTACATGAATTTCAGAAAACAAAATAAATTAAATATAAGCTTGGTTTATAGAGTAGTTTAGGTGATTTAATGCCAGTTAAATACACTCCATGATACAGATTGATGTTACAGTGGCCTTATTTATTGCTTTATAATACAAATTCACAAGTTTTACAGCGTTTCATTTTGAAAAGCCCATTTCAAAAAAACCCATCAAAAGTTCGCAAAAAAAAAAAGCCTAGGGCTTCAATTCGAAGTTTTATGGTATACGTCTATGTATGTATCCTATCATATAATTAGCTGTCTCTATTCTCCAGAAATGACTCAAATACTTTAGACACAATTGAAGATTGCTGGAAATTAAGAATATCATGGTGGCCTCAGTTTCATTTTAGACAAGATCAAGCAATTGCTATGGCAGCTGACAATCCAGAGTTGGCAAATATCAAAGCCATAATAGCGGGTCTGTTCTTAGGAGAAGGTATGAAGTATACCCGTGTTTTGATTTTTTTTATTGTTATTGCAAACACATGATAGGTATCTGCTTATGCAAAATGCAGCGAATGAGATTTAGTTTAAACATAGCTCTCGTGTGCAGCAACCTTTTGAAAGACTTTTAGCATTTGTGGCACTTGTGTCAAATATCTATTGTGTTTATTTTTTTTTCCCACAAATGCCAAATGTATTACTGTGTGCGGTAAACAAAATCTATCTGTTTACGACCTACACATGCAGCGCATGTGTGATTAGGAAGCTTTCGATTGCACGACGACGGTAGGACGTAGAAGGTAATGACGTCACTAAAAGTCATCTGCGCATGCAAGAACGTTAAGGTCACTTCGTCGAGTAGATTCTGGAACGCAATTTGGCCAAATCTACGTATGCAGAGAATGTAGGACGCAAGGTAGGACGGTCACGCATGAGTTATTCCGTTCTAGCGTCGCATCGTCGCACAATTCGTAAGCACCCTAATACTATACCACTAGCAGTACACTCGCACACAAATGTCAAAGGTTTGCTCACATTCGTATACGCGTGTCAAACATAACTAATTGACAACAGTTGATGTTAATTAGTTTCGTTCCTCAATCTAATGTTACAATTATATTTTTCATGTTATTATTTTCACTATAAATATAGTCCCTACCAAAAATCAACACAATATTGTACTGATTTTGGGTGGCACTACTGTAGGGCTCACAATCTATTAGGTTATTTTTTGGCAATTTTTTTCTCAAGACAACCTCTTGTTGAAGCTTTGGAAAATTCCACTCTACAGGAAAACTTTGCCTAACTTGAATAATTTCTAAGTCAACTTATTTTTACACATGTTTTCCATTAATTATCTGTCAATCAATTTTATCTAAAGTCAAACAATTTTTCAGTGCCATTTTGGATTTGACTTAGGCATGTTCAACTGTATTACATTAATTTTCTATTGTAATGTTAACGTTGGTGCTTTAAATAATTAAATTGTTGAAACTAGTTCTACATGTGATCAGAGGCAGTGGCTGGCTATGACACTAGGTGTTTCTTACATTGTTTTTTCTTACTATATGTTTGTTTCCATTTCACAGATTATGCATATGTGAAGGTGGTTTGCAAAAGGCTTCCAGAAATGAAGGAAAACATCCAAGAAAGGGTGCTGTCTGCTCAAAAAAGACTACAAATAACGATGTGATGAGCATGTCCTTAAACCCAATCTGATTGGTTGAAGTTGTGCTGTGTAGTTTAACCCAATCTGAATGGTTAATGCTTCCTATGGTCATAGAAGCTGTTATCGCATCGATGGTGGCTTTGACCCCCAATCTTGTGGTCAGGTGTTTGAAACTATCACTGTGCAAGGCACTTTATCTACATTTGTCTCTCTGTCTACCTAGGAGTATAAATGGGTACCTGGTAGGATGTTGTGGCATTGATTGTTATAGTTTCGTGGGCTGAGTACACATGCAAGACTATTCCCCAGGGAGTAAAGGAGGTTGCACTTAGTGCAGGTTTGCCGCTGTATGTTTTCCAGTGACAAGGGCGGTAATAACGCTCAGCGCCTTTTATCATTGATTTGGAATTGGCGCTATATAAACCGTTGGCATTATTATAATGACAACTTGTGTTTTAGATTTACAACAAGTGTGATTTAATTAGCATTGCTTTAAGATTTATTTATTTATTTTTTTGCTCTAAAAATAAAAATGTTTTTTAATTAATACATTTGTTCCTATCAGGGAGAGACAATAACAAGGTACTGTTGAGCAGAATTATGAATGCTGCCCTCTACTCAGCAATGTGTGCTGTGTTAGCCTTACTGCCAGGAACAACAGGGTTTAGAGGGACAAATTGGGAAATTTTAGCAATAGTGCTAGGCAAATGTCCAAACTATTTCAGGGAACAGGATAAATGGGACTTTATGTGACTGCATTGGATATACAATATAATACGCATGCTGTAAATATATCTATCGCTATTTATAATGCGCACATCATTGGTGGCTCAAGAAATTTACCGTTAGAGGGTCGGAACCAACAGACTGACTATCACCTCAGTCAGGGTCCCGGAATAAAAATCCCTGGTGGGAATTGTGGGTTGTGGTTTTACACTACAATATTAGGAATTAGCAATCGGAATAACATTGTTTGGCTAGGCAATATAATATTTTTGGTCCGATGACCTTTTGGCAGCGGTTCCAGGCCACTGACCACATACATTGGATATTTTGTTGCACATATGCCAGTTGTGGCTGAAACCCATTTATTACTATGTCAAACATGTCTGGTTTGGCACTTTTCCAGTCAGATGTTATGATTATAGATTTGGCAACATTCCAAATACAGCACTGAAAAACAAAAAAGTTTAAATATATATACTGTCTGCCAAAAAACAATTTGAAAAACCGCAAAAATTCAATTACTGTACCAGTAAATCTTCGAAGAAGAAAAAAAAGACCAAAGAAGTTATTCCAACTTCCAACCAGAAACAGAATTTTAAAAATAGTTTTTGCTGATTTACAAAGATTTTACTACAAAATCCATTAATAGATTACCGGCCAGTTTAAGGGTCTATGTAAAAGAATACAGGAAAGATATTATTTACATTTTTTATCATTTAAATAATTATCTTAATAACTTAACTTATTATCTTAATAAATATTCAAAAATTAAGCAATTCAAATATGAAATTGAATTTTCAATTTTTTTTTTAGCTCATGACAGACACAGTACATTTTTAACAACACACATGAAACTAATATACTTTCACACTGTCACTATTTTGCAAATAGTAACAAGTTGATTTGTTACCAGGTTTGTGTAGTGCGAGTGCAAATCCATATGAAACAAGCTCTGTCGAGGCCTGTTTTTTTTCTTCCAAGATGTCCAGAGTTATTTAGAGAAAATACCTTCGTACTACCACCAGGCAAAGGAGAACAAACTTGTGTTGCACACTTGGCCTACCCTAGATATCTAGGCCTAATGTGGTATGTAAGCTGACTGGACTTGGAACTTTCATTACCTGTTTAGTCTTTCACATTTCCAAACATCTCAAAACTTGTTTTTACATAACATCGCATAGAGACTTTTTGTATTTTGTGCTTATAACCATTAACATTACTGCTATCCTCCAAGATTTCAAATTATTGTGTGTGTGCAACGAATAAAATATCTCTGGAGATAATTTGTTACAAGTTTAAACATTTTCTGTTAGTGTGAAAAGTGTAGTGTGTGTTGCACCATATAAAACAACTATTAAAATGGATCACTGAATAAACATTAGTTTAAAATCACTTTATTTGCAATATGCATTGTTATAACCACCTTGCAACATATTCTCGTATTGACAGTGTTCACTAACAAACTGCTCATTTACTAATAGTATATTAATCATTTCATACACAATTATTATTGTATGATTTATTGACAACTGCACAGACTATATAAACATATTAATTATATTACAGTACATTACATAGTAAAGTCTGTATATTACACCGTAATGTAAACTTTTTGGAATAAACTTGCCTAGATTTCAATATTTTACAACAAAATTGTTTCTATTTACCATTGAACATTTGTTTGGAATAAGCAAGGTTTCAGCTTTCATAAGATGCTATAATCACCATTGTTATCAGCAACTGGAACATAGTGGTAGTTTGACCAGCATCTGGATTGGTGCAGAACCAAGGTGTATCACCATTATGGTATTTTTACCAGCACCTGTATTGGTGCATCACTATTCTTGATGGTAATTTGACATATCTGGATCAGTGGTGTATTTAAGTCATGAAATGGTGAAGTGAGCAGCACTAGCTCGCAAAATACGGCGATAGACGTGATTTTAATCTACCTGACATGATTTTTTTTTTGTTTTAATGGAAATTTGACCAGCAAGTGGATTGGTGTGAAACGAAGCTTTACCACCATTCTTAATGGTATTTCAACCAGTGTCGCGATCGGAAACCAAGAGTAGTTGATAACTGCATGAGAAACTTTGCTGACTGCAAAAAATGTCCACTGGTAAATAATGTTGTTCTAAATTAAATTTACACTTGTTTGCAAATTACATATGAATATCAATAAACTAAAGTATACATATCAAAAAGTTTCACAAACCCCGATTAGTGTGGCAAACATAAACGTGGTACTGTACTGTAATTTGATTCAAATTTTAATATTATATGCTACATCAACAGTACAGTACTATAGTATATAGAGCAATGCAATTTATTTTTATTTTTTTTAGAGATGTTTTTAACCTTTGATATTGCTAAACATATATTTATGAGATGGCTATTGTAAAATGTTTTTTTATTATTATAATTGATATGACAAACCTGACAATAAGAACTACTTTATTATTATACAATATATACATTTTCTATGAGGTTTTTTTTTTTACTAAATAATTATGGTGAGGTGTAATGGTCTATAAACAGTAAATAACAGCGAAGAAGCACTTACAGACTAGCTGAGGTTTTCATCTCAAGAAGTGTACTGTGTAATATACGAAAAGCTATATTAATAAAAAGCTCAATTAGATAAGTCTCAAAGTGTTTTATACTTTTAGTGTTGATGCATGTACAGAAGTACCGAAACTGGTTGCACAAGCAAAGAGATAAGGATCTTCTACTTGCTGTGGCATACCTGGGAGTCTTAAAATGGGGGGGGGGGCATTCTAGGTTGCAAAATAAGTTGATATGTGGCAATTTTGAACTTTGAGAGCATGATCTGTTTTCTTTAGACACCCACATACCTTCCGCCTAGATACGCCACTGTGTACTTGTGTGTAGTTGGAAAAATATTACAGTACTTAGGAATTTCTGATGCCAAGAAAAAAATATGTAATTTTAGGCCCCTTTATAACAATGTAGTAGAACATAGAGGTATTATGTTTACTATAATAACTTATTAATGAGTAGAAACATAACCAGTAAAATGGAAGTTTTTAAAATGCTGTTTAAAAATACAATTGATAGTGGTTTTCAATGGATTTTTTAACTGGTCCTGTTTTTACTACTTTAAAAAAAAAAGGCATTTTTCTAATGCCAATTAAATTTAAAATGGACCAGAATATAACCCCTTTTTAAAATATATTATTAATATTACTGTAAGAAATATGAAAGTACCACACTAACAGTTTGTTTGATTTCACAAGGCCTAAACAAATTTTTTTACAGAATTCCTTAGTATGTATAACAGATTAAATCTACTATTAAGGTAAGGTCAATATAGAGGTAGGGGAGAAAAAACACAAAACCTAGCCATTCTTGAGCAACAAAGTCTGCCAATGATTATTGTTCTTGGAGAGATGCCCAAGAACTACTTTCAATAATGTTTCGTTGGCTTGTGTTTCCCATGGATACATTTCGTGAGGGAGAGTAGTACAATGAATGGTAGTCAAACCGGATACAGCAACAGTAAATATTCATTTACATGCTGTCCTTCAACAAATATGGATTCATTTATAGTACGTACATGCACCTGAATCATAAGAATAAAATCCTGAGTTTCTCAGTGCTTTTAAGTGTGACCTTTGACATAGCATCTGCATCCATAATACTGTCATTGGTAACTAACAGTCATACATCACAAGTAGTTTGGTGCCATATTGTAATCACGCTTGTCCTACTGGTCATAACACAAGTATAATGTATATCATTACTATTGTAATCTATTATCTGTAGGTAGTGCAACAGTATGCACATTTTGTTGAGTATATTGCATTTATGTGCGACGGTTTGGTCCTTAAGCGAGAGCTTGAATGCGCACAAGTTTTTGTAAGTCTGGTGTTGGGGTATTTTTTTATTAGGACAACTATAACTCCGCTGCAGATGTCATGTCTATATAAACTATAAAATCACATTGCTTCATATCTGTGTGCTGTTTTGCATGATGCTGGTTTAAATCACTTCAGAATCTGTATTTAAAGAGAAAAAAAAATTTAATTAATACCTGTAACTTTTTTTTTTTTTATTGAAACAATTCTTCGATTTAAAATTGCGTCAAAAAGATGCAAAAGTTAATGAGTTTTTCCTAGATTAAGTAAAATAAAAAGAATGTAAAGGCAGAAGGCAATTCCCTAAGAAGATGAAAAATAAAATCTTGCAGTGGGCCATCCAAACAGAACAAGAGGTGACAGAAAACAAAGAGAAAGAACAGAGATGCAATGGACAAAAGGATAAGTTAAACAGGCAAAAAAAAGAAACAAAGAGAACAGAAAGAAACAAAAAAACCGTATAGGACATCACTGACCGAGAAGACGATTTGTTGCTTAAGAATGTCAATGTTAAGGTCACCGAGAGTATAGACGAATTTGGACAAAACGGAGTCTAATTTGTCAGTAAATAATGAAGAGTCAAGGGAAGGTGCTCGGTGAACAAAGCGCTGTGGACTAACTGTGTAACTCGTTTCAATGACTTTCTTCTCCCCTTAGCATCTCTTCATGTCTGAGCTACCCGGTAAACCGGTTACCAGCTACTCTCATCTGTCCACAATAGGGGACGTAAGGACCAGTACACCGGGGAACCCCCTACTCCTCTCGAAAGATGAACTGGATTCTTTTAAGTTCACACGAGCCAAGTTGCGTACACTGGGTCTACGGTTTATAGTCCTTATCCAAAAAGATTTGTTCCACCACCACAACCATAGGCAAGCGTGCCGTTTGAATCAGCGCCAATATTATGGCTGTAGGTTGCGGAGACCCTGCACTAACCGCTCAGCCCCTGCACTAACCGCTCAGCCATCCAACTCACCCAGGCTAACCAAAAAAGCAAGACATGTTGAACATATTCAGTCAATTCTTATTAAAAAGCACAACAAAAAACAGCCACCGAAACTTTAACTGCAACCCTATTTTTTTTTTTATTTTGAGGTGGCGGAAGAGGGCAAACAAACAGGTCTATCCCCACCTATTGTTTATTGTACCGTAAAGTACACTGAACAAAGCTAGCATTTTCTTTCGTCTAGGTAAACGAAACAGATGTTTTGATGTTGAACACATTGTCATTGTTGTCCATAATTTTGCATGATCGGATAAAAAATTTGGATGGATAATTTATCGGTGGAATTACAAATGCTGCGGAAACATGGCCTAAGTGATAAATACCTTTCTACTCGAAGAGATTAACATTGTCTCACATTAGTAAAAAAAAAATGTTTTGGTGACAGAGTTTCTTATTACCTGAATGACGTCTTTACCCCTTTGGGTTAGATTTCACACCCAAAATAGTAATAATAATAACCAGTAATAGTTTGTTGACTCTGATGATGCGGAGTGGTTGTCGATACCAATCATTCGTAACCGGAAAGTCAGGTCCCTAAGGACCTTCCATCCGCCATTAACGCATTGATTAATGTATGTATTTATTGTTTTGTGTACAGCATAAGGAACCACAACTAAATTTCATTGTATGTATATCACAAATTTTATTGAGGATTGATTACTAGAGAAAGTACTACAATAAACATCAAGCTTCCTAATTTTTGTGTTAATATAATCTATTTTAGTATTGCTTCTATTTTTTTTACCAGCATCTTTTAACTATGAATATGTAAATTGTTTTATGGTTTTAATTAGGAGATTTATTTATTTTCTCCTTTTCTTTTCTTCTTTTTTTTTTTTTTTCTTTTCTTTTGATTTTTTTTTTTGGTGTTCCAATTTTTGGTGTTCCACACAGATGAATTTTCTGGGTTTTTTTTTTCTACAATTTTTCAATAGGTCTAATCTATTAGGGTGAGGAAATAGGCGCTGGAAACATTGGCCTAGCCTTGTGCTAGCCTAGGCCTAGCTTTCATCGGTTTTATTTTCTGTTATCATTTCAAACTTATTAAAAGCAATTCTGCCCGATATTTTGAAAATTAAGCAAACATAATTGCAGTGTGCGAGGTGCAAGGTACAAAAACTAATATCACTAGAAAGGGCGCACTATATTTATCGCTCACAGTTGTACAGTATCGGCGACGTAAACAGTTCAGTAAATCAGATTAATTAATGCTTTTATTTAATTAATTGTGGGATGAATTGATGGCATTGGTTGGCGAGATAACGAATGGGGTGGTTTGCGAAATAGTTACCCTACCTGCCTCGGAAGCTCAATTGTATAAACATGGATCTATTAATAGGTCCATGGTATAAAGTATTCTTAAAAAGAAGCTGGCGAGAGCATGCCAGCAGATGGGATCTACAGCCTCTAAATTTGCTAGTAACGAAGAAAATGGTAATCTCCTATATGAGAAATAGTCTCTACTTCTCTTTCCTTTTTTTGTTCTATTTGTTCTAGCATAAAACTAAAATTTATGCCAATAAATGACCTGGTTTATGATAATTAGAGTAATGCTTATACAGTATACATTATTTCTCAAAATTGTTTTTCAGTGAAGTTTTGCCAGGAATGGGGTTTTCAGTTTTTGTGCCATGCATTGTAATCCTGGGTACATTGGGTGTTACACCCCGGTTAAATAAGAAATAAATAAATTCTTATTACATTCTTTTAGATATTTAATATCTAATGTGTTTATCAACTTGGAATGCATGCAGACTGTGCTAGTAACTACACAATAAACCCTATGATTCGGAATGCAAGTTTGGGTCAAAAACAAAATAACCAGAACCTGTTTATATCATTTAGGTCTGGGTCTAAGACAAAATAACCTGTTTATATTATTAAGGTTAGTCATGGTAAACACAATACTATTCTTATCATCACCTTGGCTGTAAATCTGTCAGGTGATGGGATTATGTCGGCATACAGGTAGTCTTAAGCCACTTTTACACAAAGCTATGTTACTGCAATACAGTATTGTGGGAATATTCCCAACAATGGCTTTTGTATGAAAAAGTCAAACCTAACCACAGCCGTAATATCCATGTTGGACAGCGTTCTTTCTCAACTCAGACCTAGTAATATTACCGAAATATTCCCGTTGAGGTGCATTCTGGGGTGTGTCTGAAACGAAAGCCGGTCACATTCCCGCAATATTACTCTTCACTTATTAGCAATTTTCTAGAAACAATAAAGCACACCCTCATTTTTTATTTTATTTATTTATTCTGGTATGGTAAAATACAAAAAGCAGAACCAGTCTAAAATTATTGTAGTACAAGAACTCAAGATTACAAACAAAAAATTCAAATACATTCAAAAACACCAAATTACAAACACCGCCATCATTAATAAATATTGAAAATAATAAAAATACAATTCATTAACCTACTGTATATACTGTCTCTTATACAATGGCGCTCTGAGCGTGAATGATCCATACGTTAAGGCGATTTATTATCGCAATATTTATTTTGTATGAATGGTCCATGTCATTAAGTGTACCAGTATTTTTCCACAATATTGCCAGAATCTCTGTCTGGCTTTAGAATGACTATTAGAGTGGATTAATTGGTACCCAAATATTTACCGGTCCAGTAACTAAATTATGAGCACTCAGGACAGCAGGAGTGCTCATGTTTCAATAATATTGGGTATTAGACTAAACAGTGGTCCGGATTTTGGACCAATTTTAGACACTTTCAAGTCGCCTGCGCTTTTTTTCCTACGCTATGCAAACATCCCTACATATACACACAGGCTCACTCTCTCTACAAATTCCTGTAGACCAGTTGGTTGCAATCTTTTTAACCAACAAGATATTTGATCGTGACCCTCTTCCCAGATGTGGTTAGGCCCAATAAAAAAAATTATTAGTTTATCACCCTTGCGTGCATGCCTTTTATGGTACTGAAAAAAAAAAATTTTTTTTTTTTTTTTGAAATTTTTTTTTGAAATTTTTTTTTTTTTGAAATTTTTTTTTTTGTTTATTTCATTTATTTTATTAAATAGTTTAGTAGATATTGTTTGCATTATCTAAATCATGTTTTGCTTTGAATATCAATGCACCAGCAAACAAACCAAGGTTTATATTTGGCTTTAGCAAAATAAAAAATTTAAAAAAAGTCCTCCCTCCCTCATCACTTTTCCTGCCCAGATAGGGTGATATACTAATAATATTTTTTATAGGGCCTTACACGTTATTATTATGCTGGGATAGGCCTACATTGCATGACAAATTCCTCATGGCCCACCTAAGAAATAGTGTTTTTTACTTTCTCCTGAAATGTTGGAATACGGTAATCATTAATCAATGATGGTTATTCAATGCACTCAGTAAACTTGATCTCCTCTAGAATCACTATTTAATGACTACTATGCATAAAAAAATTTTAAATAACTGAAAAATGTTCTTTCACTACAACAATTTTTGGCAAAATGAAATATTTTATAATGTCCCTTTAATATTTTTTGGAGACCCATAGTTTGAGAATCTCTGCTGTAGACCTTCATATAGTATTGAGATTTTGTATAACATTTTATTTACTTTAGTATCATATTTCAAAATATTTGTTAAATACTTACCTACAGTTGTTGAAAAGTCATATCTTAACAGGACGTTTTATGGTTGATTTTTGATTACCGTCGAGGTACCACACAGTAATAGCGAATCTGAAATTGCAGGACAGAAAACAGTTCCATTATTTATTCTGACTACAACATTATCAATACATAAAATTGTTATTATAAACAACAGAGTCTAAACAACGATAATGTTGTATATATTTTACCTTGTAGCATAAGCTGGGAAGACCTCATGTGGATTTCTCCGGTCGGAGTAGAAGAATAAAAGTCTGTTAAAAAGCGGAGCTACGCTTGCTGGGCCGGAAGCTCCTTCTGGATACACTTTCAATAATCCACCATTTTTCTGTCAACAAAATATACAATAATTAGACGAGACTTTTTTTATACCTTGTTTAGTGCCGCCCAAAAATAATGATGATTTCAAATAAAAATAGCACTTTATTTTTTGGCCAATTAGCACACCCACTGCCACGAAAAATTGGAAATTTCCATAAAAAATAAAACAATTTACACATGCCGCTTCCTTGAAAACAAGATATGTATATTTCTTCATAATTAAAAATTAATTTAAATTTAAAGCATTTAATCATCAAATTGCTACACTGTTTACATTCACCAATAAATTTTTTTTATTTTCTCCTCCGTTTGGATGTTTTTGTCAAACCTCTTTGCTGAATTTTTTATTATTCTATTTATGATTTTTATCTTCATTATCTTTGTTATTATTATTATTGTTATCTTCATCTATGATATGAATGTGCTTCAATTAACGTGTATACTTTTACTTACTGTACATTGTCAATTTGAAATAGTATCTTAATTACTTTTGTTTTCAGGCGCCACAAGTGTAAAGCTCTGCTTGTTTGTGGTTGCCCTTTCCATTTCCATTTTTATATCTGTACTGTTTAATCTATGCTTTGAAAAGATTTGGAATAAATTTATTTTGAGTTGAATTGAATTGAAATGAAAAACCTAAATTTTATGTTTATCTTTTTTTTCCCACCCTTCTCTGATGACCTTTAAAAAAATAAGTTCGCGAAACAAGGCATAAAAAAAGTCTAGATGTATTTCTGTTGTAGCATTCAATAGCGTTGACTTTTAAAACATTTACAGTTTAATCTGTGTTTAATTACGCTCAGTCCACACTACCAAACCGTATGTGAAAAATTTGTGTTATATACTCATATATGGACATGATGCTCATATATGGACATGATACTCATATGTACATGATGCTCATATATGTACATGATACTCATATATGGATGATGCTCATATATGTACATGATGCTCATATATGGACATGATGCTCATATATGGACATAATGATGCCATATGTTGTGGACCCCTCAGGATGTAAATCCCCTTGTGGAGATTCAGAGAGTTACCCATGTGACTTTACTCTTTTTTATTTTCATGTCGTTTTCATATTGTTTTGTATGTTTCATGTATGGAATCGCAACAAATCAAATCAAATCGTATTACACCCAAATATGGTCATATCATATTTATTTATCACATGTAAGTCTGCAAGTGTGGGCAGAGCTTAATATACAGTAAACATCTCTTTTCACAATTCAGTTTTTTAAACTGCAATTACTGTCTCTTATACACATCTAGATGTGTATAAGACTCATTTAAAATTAGTTGATTGCCTGATAATTTTGTTAAAAATACAATAAATTAATTATTAAATTATAGTATATTTATCATAAACAACTTTAGCATGCATTGTTTAAAACAATGGCAGAAAAAGAAAAACATGAAACACACAACACAACGTGAAAATATACCATGAAATAAGCAACACAACTTGGAAACATAACATGAAATAGGCAACACAACGGGGAAACAACATGAAATAAGCAACACAACGGGGAAACAAAGCATGCATGAAATAAGCAACAAAACATGGAAACAAAACGTGAAATAAGCAACACAAACATTACATAAAAACAAAACATGAAATAAGTAACACAACATGGAAACAAAACATGAAGTAAACAACACAATGTAAGAACAAAACATGACAAGCAATACAACATGAAAACATAGCATGAAATAAGCAACACAATGTAAAAACAAAACATGACATGACTAAAGCAACAAAATGTGAAAACAAAACATGGCACAAGCATCATACAAAAAGAAAACAAAACATGAAATATGCAACAACATGAAAACATAACATGACATGCTGTAAGCAACACAATGTGAGAACCAAACAGGAAATACCTGTAAGCAACACAACATGGAAACAAAACATAACATAAGCAACACAACAGGAAAACAAAACATGACATAAGCAACACAATAGGAAAACAAAACATGAAATATGCAACACAATGAAAACAAAACATGAAATATGCAACACAATATGAAAACAAAACATTACTATGTAAATATTAATAGCTGACATTTCAACATTATACCCATACTGTATACCAGACTTATACAATAAAATGATTTAATCCTCAATATTTTGTTAATGTAAAATTTAAATTTCATTGATGATTGACAATGTCTACTTTACAACATGATACCTTCTGAAAACAGACTGCAGTGCTGGAGGAGTGGCGAACCCCCACAGCCTTGCACAGTCTGGCTCAAACACTAAGGAAAGGTACGGGCTCTCCGGCCTGCCTCAGGTTTCGAACCTTTACCTTTTTTACACAGAGCAAGCAGTAACAATTGTCTGCACAAAATTTAATTTTCGATGTGTCCCGCCCATAAAAATAAAATGCATTTCATTTCATTTACTTCTTTCATTATGCCTCAAAAAAGGTTCTGGGACTTTTAAAGAAGCCAATGCTTCTATGATTCAATGAGTCCCAAACTTTAGGCCAATAAAAAAAAGGTAGTTTCTCATCATAATATTTCTCAAAAAGAGAATGAGGGCTCTTTTTTTTCACTCCAAGATGGCAAATCCAAGACGGTCGATGGGAAACAGCTACTTTTTCTCACTTTGACCAAGAAGACATATTGAAAGCAAATAAAAGCCCTAGACATGATTCATAGGCTTACCATATGTATTTCCAACCATGAACAATCAAAAGCGAAATTTTACTGATGTGAGTTAGCCAGATTTTCGTACATTTCATAAAATATAAAAGGAAATTAAAAAAAAAAAAAAAAAAAAAAAATTGGTGTCCAGAGAAAATGGAGGCGCAAGGGGACAAAAAACTAGTAATTTTTTTATTTGGTCTTAAAATTACAAAGAATGAAGAGAAAACAATGACAAAAAATCATAGAAATATTACAGTGCAATACAGACTATAACATTAAAATTGACCATAAATCTATTTTAAAAAGTAATGGCAATATCGTTAATTCTATTTGGAAAAGATGACCAAAACTGGAAAATGATTATACATATGTTTTAGGGCAACAATTTTTTGTTTTACTAAACAAATTTCGCTTTTGGGCACAGAAGTCAATGCACAAGCAGTGTGGAATGACACCCAACAATCATTATGTTTTCGAGTATTGATGATTTTTTATATCACTTTTTTCTTGATGTTCTGCATAATGACACCTGGTAGACTTACCTTCGTTCTGCCATTAATGTCATAATTTTCCAATTTTCCATTGCACAATGCTAGTATAGAGTCTAAAACTGAAATTAAAAAACTTATGTTTTCACAATCGGGCTCATGACCATTCCTCCATGCTATTTGATCACCTCTTATCTTTCTGGAATCGTCATCCCTACTGCGGACAACCTGACCATCTTGAAACTGACCACTGGAATGCATCTGCTGTACCTCCTTCAGAATTGCTAACCCACGTCTCTCATCCAGAAAGTTATCAAGCACACAGATTCCATGTTGTGTGGTGAGTGATTTCACCACCCGTTTCACCAAGTCATGAAGTTTAATATTTTCTCCAGGCAGACAATCTCCATTGCTAATGTTGTCCTCTTGCAGAGGGGGCATATTTCCAAATCCTTTGTTGGACTCAAATGGTTTTAATGGATAACCTGAACCTAGTCTTTCTGAAAATATTGCGGATTCTTGCTGTAATTTTGACTGAAGATCACTTGGAATTCGACGTGGTCCCTCAGGGTCTTCATCAATTGTTGATTGGAGGTGTTGAAAAGCAGTGTCCAGACTGGAGCAGCTTGATACACCTGAAGAGGAACGACTCAATAAGGAAGAGGTGGAATTCGAACTTGTACTACCATGCGTTCTGCCAAGTCCATTTGTTGAAGACTGTACTGTGTACTGCTCATCAGTTCCAGTTATTGTGGTAGTACGTGCACTGCGGTCATTGGGTTCATTCGTATCACCAAGGGAAAACAATACCTTAGGTGAAGTCATAGCCGCGGTTGTGTTACTCGTAGGAGGAGGTTTCCTCAGAGCATCTTCCGGATCACCAGCTTGCTGAGGCTTCGTTGTTGCTGAGGAGCCTGCATTACTCTTCTTTAAGCAGACGGTTTTGTGTTTTTTCCAGTCGAGTTTTTGGTGTTCTTTGCAGCAGTATCGAACACTTTTACATTTGCCACACATACGAAGGTTACTTATTGCGTTACAAATGTCAACTGCACAAACATTATTAAGCTCGTCATTAGAATCATTCCCTGTGTCACGTACACCAATCCGAGGCATGTGAAACGCCATGTCCATTTCCCATCCTACACAATGTAAACACGAAACTCTGCTTCGGCATGCTACGATCATCAAAGATAGACTTTCAGAAGTCGTTACGTAGTTCACAACTACGCCCCCACGTACGCTCTGTATTATGTGCTATTTATAGCTACTGTACTATACTGAACTCCAGCTGGTGTACGTGCACTGTCGTTTGGTAAAGCATACAGTTCCTCGTTTAAAAAAAGTAATGAAGATAGTAAATTATTTACTAAAAGACCTCTAAATCAGAAGAATAATTCAATCTAACAAAAGGAAGACCTACCTGCCAGCTAATAATATTAATAAAGTAGACCTATGATACGCAAAGATGACTGTGTGAAAAGTATTCATAATTATTCTAGTTTTCATAATATATTTAATATAATTCTAACTGAAGAAATGAGGAAACTTTCACACCTGTACCTATTGCTTTGCTTTTGCACCGCTGGATGAAAAGGTTGTCCCCATTGCTCCCAAGATCACATTTGATGATTGTTTTTGTTAAAGTACCGTATACGTTTTACCCGGAGATATGATTACAAAACGTGGATTATGCTTTGAAAATATCATTTTTCTAACAATCTGAAAAATCAAATAAAAAATTTGTGTAGCTGTACCGGACTCTTTACCGGTCTTTTTTGAATAGAAAATTACAAGAAATTCGCTGTGGGCTGTTTCAGGCTCTCCCTCTCTCACTTCGTAACGACCATTGTTTTTCTTCTTTTTTTTTTTTTTTCTTCTTTTTTGAAACGGCTCGAAACTGATATAAAACTTAATATGATTATATAATTGAGCAGTTTTACTGGTCAAAAAGAAAATAGTCCAGAAAATAGTCCCATTACAATGGGCAGTTAAAATCACTTTCAAGTTTTATATTGTGTTGCTTTGGTGCTACTCAAGTGGTGGATTCACTGTTAAATATGAAACAATAACAGGCCTACCTACGAAATTACATCATGACTATATTAAAATATGCCTAATCATTATTAATTGGACACAATTAAGATAAAGAAGCACTGTTATTAATACACATATTTTTTGTAATAAACACAAATTATACAACACGCAGACATGAATGAAATGCTCCGATCCTTTACATTTGATTAATAACTTCGATTTCATTCATTTTAGTGATAAAAGTTTATCACTGATGTAGGCCTACTCTGTGGCTGACTCTGTTCCCGACACGTAGGCCTTCAACCAAAGCATGCGCAGTGAATCAACACTTTTGGACTTTCTGTAAATAGCCACGGAAATGTTTACTACGTGTTGTTCAAATCATTCAGACATTCTACTCTTTAAACATTCGGTTTATGCTTAATCAAAACATGAGGAGTAAAAAAATTAGCGCAGAGTCATGTAGTACCGTTACGAATGTTAATGAATTAGCCATAAAACTCATACGAACAATGGGCCTATATCAATAAAATTCGTTGATTTTAAACTTCATTGCATTTATACTGGACGGATCCAGAGGTGGCCGAAAGGGGGACCGGAGGGGGCCTAGGGATTTCAGGGCGATTTTTTTTGTTTTCTAAACGCCCGAAAATAGGCTCTGAGGCGTTTTTGGGCGATCAATTATTTCTTTTTTCTCTATTTTTTGTTGAATTTCAAAAAGGGGGTGGGGCGGTAGGCCTACATATGAGGAAATATATTATCAATAAAGCTGAAAGTTCAGCCATAAACTGGGTCAATTCAACCTCAAAAATTCAACCCGAAATCCTATTATGAGAAGGCTATTTTTGTCATATCACATCAAATAAAACAGAATAGAAAAAGTTCAACCTGCAGTTTATTGAGCTTTGCGGCGCCATAAATTATAAGAAATGTGTCATTTCTTATCATTTTGGGCAGTGGTATTAGGCTTATCTGTTTCATAAATAATCTCTAGGCCAGGGGCGGCGCCAGCGCTGTGATCGGAGGGGGAAATCCCTCCACCCACCCCCCACCCCCCAACATTCGGACAGGCCTGGACCTTCCGACGCTACGGTCGTCGGACCGAAATATTTCTTTGCCTATTCATAGCATTATATTTATTGTCAATCCCTATACCATATGCAACATTTTTCATATTGGATTTTATTCCGGGACCCTGGCTGAGGCTTGGTCGGTCCTTTGGTTCGGGACCCCTGTGACAATTTAAGGCATACCGGTATGTTACTAATACATAGGCCTACCGGTAATCCTCATAAAACCATCAACGAAACAAGCTCTTTTGAGTATTACGGTTATTCTCGTGAATTACTTACAGTGGAGCTGTAGCTTGGTGGTTAAGATGCTTGCTTTCTGGGTTCAAATCAAACCCTGTCACTTTCACGACTAAAAACCACTCCACTACCTGCCAAAGACTCATAAAAGGGACTATAGTAGTTACCGTATTCCATCCAGTCAAGCTTGGTTTCCATTAAGTCGCTACATGCTGCCCATTACGTTTGCAGAAGAATCAGGGTGCATTGCTAGCTGCTCCGACGCAATCAGGGAGGCAACCCGATTCGTCTGCAACGCAGTCGGCAAAGTTGAATCAGGTTCAACCTCAGTGGCGTATCTAGGGGCGTGGGGGTGCCCCTCACCCTAAAAAAATCACAGTCAAGTAGTTAAAAATAACCTAAAATCACCTTATTTTGCGAATTAGCGCCCCTCAACTCAGACCTGTCAATCCGTACGCATTCGCCGTAAGTCTTACGACTTACGGTCTTACGCAAACATCGGCAGAACTTACGCTTATCCTAAAATTTGAGTAAATGTTGTTTCTTTTTCAATTTGTAATGAATTTTACTATAACTAACATCCATCATCATTATTACATTCTACCTCCATGATTTCAATAACTATGAGATCATTTTAAACTCACCAATATCGATTAGGATGCTATTTAAGCCAAAGGGTCCATGAGCCTACTAGAAATGGCGGCAGAGGTTGCTTCACCAAAATAGGCCTACTGTGTACTCATGACGATCAAAGCGTAAATAATGTTCTGGTTAATTATAGGATTCTTTATTTAAAAAGGATAATTTACAGAAAAACATGCAAGTTAAGAGTCCCCCTGTCAGGGGAACTGGTCCCCCTGTCATAGGTGCCATTCCCCTGTCGGGAAGCTGGTGCCACCACTGCAACCCATACGATCGCAATAATACAAATCCTTCTTGCGCAGAGGGTAGCACTGCTCTCACCACTATCACTAAAAAGTTCTTAATACCTCAAATTTTATAGCTTATTAGAAGGCATGCTTGAAATGTACTTTCGGTGCTCGAGATTTGATTCTTCCCCGACGATTTGCTGGAAATTTCCCGACAGGCAGGAGGTCTCCGACGGTGGTCCTTTTCCCTCCGACCCCACTCCGCTGGCACCGCCCATAATTTATGGGCATACAACAGTCAAGAAAATTTGGTAACTGGACCAAGCTAAACTTTTGTTGGCGAAGTTATAATTTCTTTCAGAAATGTCATCTGAAACTTTTATTATGACTTCTTTATTGCGAAACATACATGAAACAATGTGGTGCGACAAGGAGTCAAGAAATAGTTTGCTCTGTTTAAGTTTTTACCCTTTCCTTTTTTTCCTTTTTTTACAATTTTTTTGAGTTATTATGGTATACATTATGTATCATCTCTTTCTGTCTTTTTTAATCTGACGTGTAGCTAATGTGAAATTTTAAGCTTGGTTATACTACACTCGCTAATTGTTTTCAATGCAATCGTTGTACTGCGGCGTAGCAGCGCCCCCGACGCAATCGGGAAGGCTTTACCGACCAATCAGCATCACCGAAAGCTATCGGAGATAGCGTGTAACGATTGTATAAAACCAGCTTATGCTTGACATGAAATTAACCTTTCATATTTTTCCATCCGTACTTGAAAATTTGTCATAACCATTATTCAAGATGAACGAAGTTTGAACACATTGACCTGTATATATACTTTCTTCTCTCTATTCTTTCACAATTTTCAAATGTATGTTATAGTAGGCCTTATAAGATTAATTGAGTAAAGGCAATGTATCAGCTGTTATCTTGTGTATGTGGGTAAGGCGGAATTATCTTGTAAAAATATAATAATGTTATTTTAACATAACTATTATGTTCGACGTCCGACAAATCTTACCCTAAACATCAAGTCGATGCAAGTGTGAGTTTCGTCGTTTGGTGTTATAGGCCTACCTATACTCTATTTGAAAACACAAGTTTCAGATCTGTTATAAAATCTGTAAAGTTTAAAATCGGTATATGTGAAAGGAACTGTAATGTTTTTAGTTGAGGGCCCCATGATCGTCAGCAAATAGAGTCGATTTCTTTTTTTTTTTCTTTTAAAAAAAAAATAAGATCAATGCATCATTCTAGACTGGTGTGTTCAAAAACGTAAAAAGCTAGCAAAAATTAAATATGTCAGCTCGTGTATCAACATAACAAATGTTTAAACACATCACAAAAATTGATAAACTTTCATTTTTTAGAATAATAAAACTTACAGCTAAAAGTATGAATAAATGAAATCACATTCTTTGATAGAAAATACCGTACTCGCGCGAATAAGCGCCCCTCTCCAATAACCGCCCCGTGAAAATTTCCTTAAGCGCCCCGTTTGAATAAGCGCCCCCTCAAAGGATTTTCTTTTTAGCAAGTCAGTAATCCAATCAATCCTGGGACTGAATGGTTGAGCTGTAGATTGGAAACACATTCTTCTTCGGTCAATATCAAAATGAGGATATTTCTCTTGGACAGATGAGAGCTCCGATCCCTGGACAGACAGTATATTTCCAACTTTACTCTTTTTACATATTTGTCTATGCCTAGTCCTACTCCTCTTTTTCTTTTTCCGACCTTCAGCACATTCTCATCTGAGTTTTCAAGAAAAAATACAAACGGATCCTGCCATCCTTATAATCTCAACCGGCCGATGGCTAAGCTAACCACTACCAACCAACACTAGGCCTAATTGCATCTGCTATTTTGCTGCTACGTAAATATTCATGCATTCTTGTCATGAGCCATGTTCTCTGGACGATTATATATCAAAAAGTGCCTCTTGCATTTCCTATAAGAACCCCTCGATTTTCATCTATTTCCATAAGCGCCCCCTCAATTTCCACTCTGTTTTCATAAGTGCAAAAAATATTTTAAGCGCCCGGGCGCTTATTCGCGCGAGTATGGTAATCAAAGATCTTGAAAACTAGTCTTTGCTGTATATTACCGTAGAGGGCGGACTACAATAATAACAAACCAGATTGACTCGACGACACACGACGACACTCGTGACGACGAGAAAGACCTTGATAGCAGGACTAAAGCAGAGCGCTAGGCCTAGTTTTAGGCACGGTTAGGTAAGTTAGCGATAAGTTTTATTGGTAAATTATTCCGTCATTTTAATTTACTCTATAAATTATTCAACTAAGATAAAAGTACTTCTCTACATATTAACCTAAGTAATTAAACAGGTAGTAGGCCTAGGCTAGGATGAGTTACTTTTTGACATAAGCTTTTTTTTTTATCTAGCGTAGGCCTAGGTTAAGTAGTATTGATTCTCATCATTCATACTTGATTGAAGCAGACTGGGCAGTCGGATACATACCGTTGATAGGAAGTGATCTTATGCGTGACGACGCATAAGATCATACACATACACTTTTCATATAGAAAAGTGTATGTTTATGCAGGAAATTTTGTTTATAATTTTGTGTGCGAAATACACACACATATATGTAAATTTATATTTACCTATGTAGCCTAGACTAGGCTAGGCCTACAGTAACTAGGCTAGGCTAGGCCTGGTCCCCATCCTGTAGGGCACACAGGACTTTATGGTTTGCACAGGGAGTTGTTTAATATCCTGGTTTGCCGTATTGATTTATTTTCAAAAGCAAGTAATTGGGCCTAGACTTTTTCAATGTTTGGTGAATTTCTGCTTGAAAAAATAAATAAAATATAAAAAAATATTTGAAAAATTATAATTATCCTTATGATGAGTTATGTCCATGTTCAGTCTTACAAATGCAAAATAATTTACTACTAGGTAGCCCAGGGCCTAGACTGATAGAACCGAAATTCTTGATTATTGAAATGCAAGCTCAACAGGACTACCCATCAAATAAAAAATTTTCAGTTTTTGTAAATTGCCGAATTCTTTGCTGTGGAAGTTGAAGAAAACCTCTTAGCAAAAAGTAGATCAAAACAAATTGGATTTTTATTTTTCACAATGGCAAGACATTTGGAGTAGAGTATAGTAGAACTCCCTCCTTTGGGACACCCCTATTAGGGGTACACTTTTTCAGCCATGAAATGAGGGAAGTATATATTTTACCACTACGACCAACCCCTATTCGGGGGACACCCCTATTAAGGGGACACTTTATTACATCCTGAAGATGTCCCCATTAATGTACCTCCTATTTTTATGTATTTATTATTAATATTATTATTTACTATGATTATTTAATTACTAATGTCTGTTTTTCTACTCAGTATAGAGCTAGGATACAGTAGTATTATTTAAAGAAGGTAAAACTTAATGCAGATAGTGAGAAAATAATCATGGCTGAAGAATACAAAACTGATGCAATTGCCGATGAAGATGAACCAATGATCAATTCCAATGGCAGTGACCATCAGCCAATCTTCTATACAGTAAAGGACAGGTAAACCTTTGTCTTATTCTTAACATTTTTTTTGCCTGTTATTTTATTATATGCTACACTCTCACAATGAAACATACCTTACATGACAAAACAGATTTTAATAATAGATATATCAATGATCTATGGTGCACTGAAATATGTGCAACCAGCTCTTAATATTGAGCATTTTTTTATTGCCTTTATATAGGACAAATGAAATCACCTGTCGAGCTAAACTACTATATTTATTACAGTACTAATTAGTACATATGGAGAGTATTTGTAGCTTTATAGTATCTAAACATAGATTTGTACATGTGGCAAAAACAAGCCAAACCAGTCACTCCTCACAGACAGTCAATTTTTAGTTATTAATACAGTATTTAATCAGTAAAATGAAAGTTAGAAAATGGTAAAAGAATCATTTAAATCCAACATTTTGTAATGAAGTTACAGGAGTTTAAAAATACAGCTGTTTAAAGAACAGTATAAATGAAGAATCAGCCTCTAAAGTTTATGATTTCAGCCATATAGGCAAAGACCAAACACCAAAAAAATATTGTTTTAACCTGGAAAATGGGGAAAACAGCAACATAGCATGATGTATAGATATATAAACTCGATTTTCGAGAATTGACTGGTTTGGCTTGTCTTCGCCACATATGAGGATAGCATGTAATAACAGTAGCTAAAATGTCTATGTACATCATGATGATAGCAGGTAATAATTACAATAGTAGCTATAGTATGTAAATCATATGATGCTGATAGCATGTTATAATATAGTAGCTATATTATCTACCGGTATGTGAATCTTAATTATGATGATAGCATGCAATAATAGCTGCTCTACAGTAAATACGTACATCATATCTTGATGGCAGCATTCCATATTAGTTGCTATAGTACTGTATGTATGTATGTATGTATGACTATCTTTATGGAAGAATCTTAAACATTTATTTTATTGTCCTTTCAGGTATAATATTGCATATGTCATATTCTATATATTTGGCATAACTTCAGTATTGCCATGGAACATGTTTATCACAGCAAATAAGGTAAGATATGATTTGTAACATTTTTTATTACTGTATTATCATTGTCATCATAATAATTATTATTAATATTACTGGTATCATTATTATTATTTATTTTTATAGTAATTTGTGTAAATCCGGATATTATAATAAGAAATTATTATTGTTATTATTATTATTTATTGTTGTTCTTGGTTTGCTTTTACTTTTTTATTTTTGTAATCAAAAGATAATTATATGTGCTTCAGGTAACAGTGCTATATAGCTGCACTGTTGTGATTTTATGGGGTAATGAGTGGTTTCCTAAAATGTTGATTCAATTGTTCATAAATGAGGCATGTTGTGGTAAAATGGCTAAGCTGTAGCAAAAATTGAAACTTAAGTTATTGGTTACTATTTCCAAATACCTGAGTATGTGATTTTTAAAATGAGGGGTCATTCATTGAAATTGGACATTTCAAGCCTAAGTTATTAGAAAGTGAAACTACAGCACTCTTTAGAGTCAAGATAAACAGGATTTTGAGTAATTGCCTTTCAAAGTTATTTGTACATACATTGTTTAATAGAATTAACTATCAAAATAACGTTAAATAAACAACTTGTTGACCATTTCCGGAACTAATACTTTGGATATGATTAATAAGACATTAAACTGTTGATCTATAGTGAAAAACAAATCTGGATTTTTAGGCAATTTTTTGAGCTCCCATATTTTATAGCTTATTTACCCAATACTGGCCTGTGCGGCAACTTAACCATTTCGCCATGACATGCCTCAAATTAATAAAATTGATATGTATTATATTTTTATAACATGTTATTATCTGCAATGTTCATTTTTAAATGATCATTTTTAGATAAATATTCAAATAATTTCATCTGCTTTTGTATGTACAGGTCTCCCTCTATGATTAAAAACCCCTCCTAATTAAAGACCATCTCCAATAAAAGACTACATTTCTGTGGTTCAAAATTAACAAAACGTCTTTTATATTTATCAAGCTACGTTCACATCAAGCCCGGATTCCGGTCCGTAGTCCAGAGAAAAAATCGTGAAAAATGGGATCAGTTGTAAATAATAGGACTGTTCACATCAAATTCATACGATTACTAATCCGGACTCCGGATCCAGATCGATGGATCTGAGAGCCATTTGTATCCTGCAATCATACGTTTTCTTTTCTTGACCAATCAGCAACAAGCTTGATTGGTTCGAACCAATCAAACGCATACGTACTTAACCCGAACAAAAAATGTAGCAACTCACGATTTTTTGTCCGGGCTCCGGACCAGATCCAGGCTTGATGAGAATGTAGCTTTATCCTAATTAGCGACCAAAGCTGCTAAAGACCGTGGAAACGCCAGTCCCAAAAGTGGTCTTCAATTGGATCAAGACCTTATAATTATTACAATGAAATTTAAATAATATATGATAGACGTTATAATTTTTTATTTTTTGGTAATTCTTTGCAGTATTATTCTGTTAAGTTTCAAGAAGATCGAAACAGTTCGGTTGATCAGTGTGCATTATTAGTTAATAACAACAAGACATACCTCCAAGAAAGCTTTGAAAATTATTTTGCTGTGGCGGCAATGATTCCTCAAGTTATAGCGTTAACACTGAACACTTTAGTGCAACATTCGTAAGTATTTACTGCCCTCTATACAGTCATTGGTAGTGGAATTGTAGCTTAATGGTTAAGATGCTTAACTCCAATCCCAGGGTCCTGGGTTCAAATCCTGTGACAGCATAGAATTTTTTCTCACGACTGAAAAACATATCCACTCAACAATGCTCTCTTTAAAACTTTGAATAAGAATGATAATTACAGTGACAAAAACAACGACAATAACATCAGTATCAATAATAATAATAATAATAATAAAAATAATAATAATAATAATTATAATAATAATAACAAAAATAGATAATACTGCATAAAAATAATTCAAAGAAATAAATAATTATCTGGGTTTTTTTTTTGTTGTTGTTGTTGTTTTTGTTTTTTTGTGTAAATTTTTTAATTTTATTTGTTGATATTATTATATTATTGTTTGTGCAGTATGTGTTTACTGTGTGTTTGTTTTTTTATATTATTTATTGATCCAATATGTTTTTTTGTGTCCTAATCAACTTTCTGTTGATTGCTTTTGCAGCATTTCTGTAAAAATTAGAATGCATGTGTCCATTTTGGGGATTCTGGTGATGTTCATAATGACCACTGCATTGACCATAGTAGACACACGCTCATGTAAGTAGTCTGTTGTTTAAGCTATCCTGTTACTTTATGTCTGCCACCCACTAGAAGTGGTTTGGCGCAGCAGGAATGGTTTGGTTTCCCAACCTCGAGGTCGGGATTTCAATCCCTCGCTATGCATTTCACTTGTTTTCTTGAGCAAGGCACTTTATCGTCATTGCTTCTCTCCACCGAGAAGTATAAATGGGTAACCGAGGAGGTTCGAGTGCAAAAATGCGCTGATATATTTCATGCAGCAAAGTACAGAATTTCTCCTATAGGTATTGTTCCAATGACCAGGGTAATAATTTGGAAAAGAGCTCTGAGACTTTAATTGTATAGAGCGCTATATAAAAGCTTACATACTACTACTGTTATTATTATTATTATTATTATTATTATTGTTATTATTATTATTTATTATTATGTTACTAAAACCTACCTTAGGGGAACTTAGACAATGGAGTAATTAGAGAACAATTAAAAAAACAAAGTTAAGAGGATAATAACACAGAAGATATTCCCCTTAAGTCCGGCTTAGCATATATTATTATACTGTTCTCTATACAGCTGTATGTTTAAACGCCTGTGACTTCATAATTAAATGTTGGATTTAAATGATTCTTTTACCATTACATAGCTCTCATTTTACTGTTTAACACTGTAGTAAAAGCAAAAAATTGATTTTTGCTGGGAGTAACTGGTTTGGCTCGTCTTTGCCACGTACGTTTACTAGAAAATATAATTTTAATAAACAATAGTTTCTCAAGTGAACAAGTCTTATATCCATAGTGGTGCAATAAACTATTTGTAAACTTAAAGGTTTGCTGTCAAATGCTACTATGTTTGCTAATTACCAAGTTGGGAAATCACAGACGAATAAATCACAAACTACATATTGGTGGCGCTCTCAGTGACAGTGCCATAAATTCCCTGACTGGGGCCTGGACCGTCTGCTGGTACCGATTACTGTCGGTGCCCATTTTGTAGTGGCACCTTAGTGCAGTCATCTTGAAATGCTTTATCTTGCAATGTGTTGGGAATCAACAACGATGATAATGATGAATATGTAATTAAGCTTTGTTAACGTGATTTTGTTTTACTATATATAGGGCAAGAAGTGTTTTTCATTATCACACTGGTTTCCGTAGTCATCGTTAATGGTAAGAATATTTTCAGTGTTCAAACTTTTTACCATTACACCGGGGTAGGGTGTTACCCCAGTGTATTGGTCTATTCAGTCCCTGTCCCTGCAGATATGCCACAAATAAGATAGTGATTAAGTTCACTTATTGACATATCCTTGGCTCTCGTGCATAAAGAAATGAAATGAAAAAAATGAAATGAAATAAAAAAAACTCAATTTGGTTTTAATTGTGTATATTGTGTTTCAATCTCCTTGATGATAATTGTGTTTTTTAAACATGGCCAACATGTAGGTTTTAAATTATAAACATCACTTTTTAAAATTATTTTCATATAACTTGGTAATTAAAAAAGTTGCATAGGTAGAATGAATAAGATACCAGTTACTTCTGTTTACAAATTTTTTTGTAAACACACGCATGTTATAGGGATAGACACATGACCCCTACTTACCTTTTGTTCTATATCCACACCGGTACAGTATTAGTTACACATTGTAATTTATATTTTAAACTAACAATGTAAACTACAACCCAGGCACAGGTCTAGTTACTTGTGTATTAACCTGAAGATCAAGAACTCTGTGTATATACCATCTAATGAAGCATGTATATGGCTGAGCTTTTAAATACAAAAACCTTAGAATTTATTTATATTGGAATGCCAATGCCAAAAATTACTTTTTGTATCAAAGCCATGTTGGTTGAGTGATTGATTGATTGATATTTTTTTTTTTTAACAGTACTATCTGCTATATTTTCTGGAACTGTCTTTGGTCTCGGTGGTATTTTTCCTCCAAAGTATACCCAGGGCTTGATGGCTGGACAGGGCCTAGGCGGATCTCTCCCAGCTATAATCAGCATATTAACCACTGCTGGTAAGATTGATATGTTCTGTTTGGTAATACAGTAGTATGATAATTTAAAACTATTGTTTTAAATAACTTTAAAATAGTGTCATCACATTTTGGAGATTTTAATTTTTAAAAATAATAATGTAAAACATAATCACAAGTTTATTATTTGGGTATTTATGTACATGATTTTTAAAATTTAATTTATTTAAATACTGTCTATTAATTATAATGTTATAGTTGTTATACTAGCATGCAATGGCGTTTTTAGGGGTACAGTATTTAAATGGGGGACTGGTGGGGGGGGGGGGGCCCGGGGGGGCACGATAATAATATTAAGGGGTGCTGACTTGGAAATGATGTGCTTGGAAGCCATACCCACCAAGAACTATTGTTGCCTCTTGACTCAATTTCCCTTTTCAAAGATAATACCTATCCGTATATACTGTATATTGCCATTCTGCGATTACTGTGCATGTGTGTGTAATAATAATAATAATAATAATAAAGTAAGAACTTATATAGCGCCATTTAAAAAACCGAAGTAATTATCAGTGGCGCTTCATGTTATTGTTGGAATAAGTGCGTTTTGAGTGATTTTTTAAATAAAGGAATTGATGTTGATTTTTTAATGTGAAGTGGTAGTGCGTTCCAGAGTGTGGCTGCAGCAAATGAAAATGATCTGTGTCCGAAGGTCTTAGTGTTGGTGCGAGGGACAGAAATTAAATTGAGATCAGATGAACGTAGGGAACGGCCAGGCACATATTTGGGAAGAAGTTGATTAATGTATGTGTATAGATTTAAAATGGTTACAGTATACTATAACATGTTTAATTTAGTAAATACTTAACTGAATGTAAATTTTGTTGAAGCTGACTTCAGTGGGGGTGTATATGGGGAGCAAACTATTTTTTTGGTGCATCCTTGCATAAACACTCTTCCTGGAAATGTTACTGCTAACATGTTTATTATCACTTTTATTTGTGTCTAGTGGGCCATGATTATTGCACCAGTGCCTTTGCCTATTTCTTATGTGCAGTATTTTCAGTAATAGCAGCATTTGTTGCATTTCAAGTTCTAATCAAGTTGAAGTATGCTGACGTCTTTTTGAATCAAATGGGTAAATAAAAAACTGATAGTTTGGTTTTTTTTTCTGTTTTAGCAGACAGTTTCAATGTTAAGAATATTTAACTAGATTTCTTCTTTTTTTTGCGATAATGATGTTTAAGTATTTCCTTCTCAATAACTCCTTAAGTAGTTTCTTCTCAAATATTGCTTTAAACTTTAATCTTGGGTTATTGTTTGCAAAGGCCACTGGCATGGGAAATAACCCATTAAAATACTAGTTATATTCAGTGGTGGATCCAGGAATTTGAAATAGAGAGGGCCCTGGGAGAGAATTTTACAGATAGAGTCCACGTACCTCATCCCCACCATGGTTGGGGCTGAGATAAAAAAAATTATGATTATAGCACCCCTAGATTACCAGAAATGGCACTCTCAGACATAAATTTGATTAAAATTACATTATTTTCTCACTTTTTTATATATATATATATTTTTGAAAAATTCAGGGGCCCAGGCCAGCATGCCCTCCCCCCCCCCTCTTCAATCCGCCACTGATGTTATAGGTGAAAGGTTGTACTAACTGGGCCATAATGTGATCTAACAAGATGACCTTTATATGACATTCTAAGAATATACTGCAAATACAAAACTTAGACTTAGATTATTATAAGGTATAGTTAACTGTAGATGTTTTGATTAATAAGTTTTTTAATGATTTTCCACCTCATTGGTTTACATCTTAGGCTGTTGTTTATGAATATTTGGCAATGTTTTTCTTTGTTTTAATAATCAGATTTTATGTAAAATATCTCTTTTTTGCAGATATAAGAAGGCATGAAGAATCAGATAACAAAGATTACAGCGGCAGTTGGGAAACTAAACTAACCATAAAACCACCATTCCTATCAATTTTAATAAAGGTAAGTTAATAAAATACAAAAGACCTTAAGCTGGTTATAGACATACCTCCGCTCAATACATTGTAATTTCATACCTTGACTCGGTATTTCGGAACAAAGAAATTTGAACACATCACTCCGATCTTCCAAGAGTTCCATTGGCTACCTGTTCCTTTCAGGAGCATCTTCAAGATTTTGCTCATTACTTTTAAGACATTGAAAGGTAAAGGCCCAGGGTCCTTGTAACCTGCTGGTGTGGTACGCACCATAAAAAAAACTCTCCACTTTGGTACTGACATTCATGAGGTGATAGGTCATTTGTGGTTGCGGCTCCCCGTTTAATATTGCTTTCTTTAAAGAGCTCTCAAGACACTTCTTCCGTCTGCTGCTATTGGAGTTTATATTTTGTCTTGCTTGCAAACTTAATTTGTTTAGCTAGATACCCAATTACTCGAGCAACTGTGAGTTATGAATAAGCTGGCCCTTGTGCCTCAAATTTCCTGGAAATGGTGCGGTAATGTGTGTGGTGTTTCTTGTCTGGTACCTTTTATGGTTACGGTGGCTTTAGTGACCTTCCTTCTTTTGCAGTGGATAAGTACGGTTTATAATTCTTTATTATTATTATTATTATTGAGAAATTACTGTACTTTCTCTGATATAAGCCCACCCCTATAATTTACGCCCAGGTATGATTTGAATGAGTAGCTTAGCTGACATTCACAAATACCCTTAAAGAAATCTAGTATTTGCTTTGAATTAGGCATGCAGTATTGAAAAAATTGCCTTTTTATTGACAAGGAGATTCCCTAGGTTTAAGTCCAAAATTGGCCCAAATTTGTGTTCAAGGGGTGTGCTTATACCAGAGAAACTACGGTTGTTGGCTGAGCTACAAAAAATTGACAATTGGTAAGTCAAGTCTTGAACAGATACAATTAATGTTCAGCAAAATGTGTTCAGTCTTTCATATTTATTTATATTATGCCTTCAAATTAAGGCCTACCAATATTGCAATCATTTTCTTTTCTTATTAATCATTGTATTTTAGGATTTCACTGTAGTAACCACTATTTTCTTTTTTTTTTATAGATTCTACACCCAGCAGTGATGGTAATGTTGATATTTATGATTACTTTATCATGCTTTCCAGGAATCGTCTCCAATATACAATCCAGCAATAGTTCAGCCAAATCACAATGGACAGGTAATTTGGTTTAATATGCAAAGTAGATGCTAATTTATTCATGTAAATTAATCAAATTTGATTATGCAAAACATGCTAATGTATCCATGGAAGCATTGTAAACTGAAAGGTAACCTGATCTGATTTCCAAATGTCATTTTTTTTTTTTTGCTCTATGCAAAATATATGCTAATTTATACATGTACTGCAAAGTTCAATTCCGTGTTGTGCGATGCAGCTGAACGCGATTAATTGTCGGGGACAGTCTGAAGACGTCATGAGAAATATTAAACATGTTTAATATTCTACGATGCGACTGCCCCCGGAGCTGATGCGACAACTCACTCAGAGCCGATTCGACTACAATTCGCATCAGACTGCATTGTACGACGCTGTCTGAGTTGGCCTTGCGCAATATAAATTGTGTATTTTCTTTCCTCCATGAGTTGTTATTATCTCAGGGTTCATTCATTTCATCTTTTTTTTTCTTCCAATGTTTTAGATGTCTACTTCACAGCTGTTACATGCTTTCTACTTTTCAATCTAATGGATTGGTTTGGACGCTCCATGTCTGGTTTTGTACAATGGGTATGCACTCCATATTCATCAAATAGATAGATATTTATTTATTTAGTATTTATTTATTTAGTCAGTCAGTCTGTCAGTCAGTCTTTCTATCTTCAGGTTTTGTATTTATTTATTTGTTTCATTAGGTATTGTATTTATTTATTTGTTTCTTTAGGTATTGTATTTATTTATTACTTTATCTTTATTATTATTATCGTTATTATTGTTATTATACGATTTATATATATTGTTTTCTAAATTATAATTCTATGTATTAATTCTTTTCCAACAGTCTCAGCTTAACAGCTTGCTTTATATGAGTTCCCTTTTCCATATATCTTGAATCAGATGTCCCAGATCTCACAGAATATAATGCATGAACATTGAGTTACAACGGACAATTTCTTAAATTAATTCCGTTTTTTCTATGAAATAAGTAATTAAAATCCAGTTTTAGTGTAATGTAAAGTTGTTTTCCCAAGTTTCCTTTATAATAGGTTTGCACATAAATCATTGGCATTGGCAAAGATTCATAAATTAATAAAGAACACAACTCATTCTAGAAAAATAACAAAGGATTTTTTTTTTTGAATATGTTTCGGGTGAGAATTTACCCATCTAATCTTATCACAAAAACATACTAAAATATAAGTTGTAGATTTAAATGTTGTACTTGTATTCCCAATGTTTGAACTCTTACATTTTATGTGTAGTGATTTTTTCCCCCTTTTTTCTCTCTTTCAGCCAAAAGAAACCAGTTCAATGCTTTTAAGTGTACTCGTTGTCCTTCGATGTGGCTTTATTCCACTGTTTATGTTGTGCAATATTGAAGCCAGTAATCTGCCTCTTATCTTTGCCCATGATGCTTATCCAATTATATTCATGGTCATTTTTGCTTTCTCCAATGGCTACCTTGGTAGTTTATGTATGATGTATGGACCCAGGTAAGCTAGCCATCAAATTTTTCCAATTACCGTAAATCCTCTATCTCCAATAAGCGCCACACTAAACATGATTTTTTATTGTTTCGAAGTGCCGCTCTCGAATTTCGGTCTATTTTGAATAAGTGCCGTGGTACTTAATCAAGAATACATATTACCCTGTGTGTAATGAAACAGGGTTTTAAATACAATGTATACAATGTTCAAATAACACAGACACAAATATATGTGTATGTTTATAAACGTTTATATACAATGAAGTAGGGGCCTAGGATAGGCCTACCGAACTATGGGAATGCATGAGATATTTGAAATTGGAATGGGCATGGAAAGCACCACGCCATCATTTTTTAATGAGCGCCGCTCTAGAATAAGCATCACTCTTGAATAAGCACCGCACTGAAGCCTCCAAAAATTTTATAAGCATCACAGTGCTTATTTGAGAATTTACGGTATGCCTAATTTAAAGTCAATATTTGCAAGCCATACACTGGACTTTTGCCAGAGTAAACGCTGCCAATGCACACACAATTAGGGTGGAGGGTGAATTTATAACCAAGGCAAGCTTATACCCAAGTAACTACAGTAATTAAGACATTTGCCGTGCAATGTATGACCTTGCTTCAATTACTCTGACAATCATGTAAAACCTTATCTCATTACTTTATTTTGATTTGTAGAAAAGTGCGAAAGGATTACCGTGAAACTGCTGGCAACATGATGGCACTGTTCCTGTCGTTAGGATTGGCATTTGGCTCGCTAGTTTCCTTTGCGTTGAGAATGGTGATTTTAAAAGGTTAAAATTACACAGTTAAGCACATCCCGACGGCACACTTCCTTCCAGATTGCATTGTTCGTGTTGCTGGAATTCGCATTTTTCTCACTGCTTTCCTTTGGGAACAATATCAAGCACATGCTGACAGCACTGTTCCTTCCTGATGGCACTGTTCTTTCCAAATAAGCATTTGAAACCCCTAAATTGCCATACTTTGTAGGGGCGCTCAACCACGCCTCCCGTTCCAACTTTAACATATTTAAAAAAAAACTAAAGCCTAATAGTTTTATTTTTGTATATTTTTTTATATCTTCCCTTTATCTTTCACTTTTTTATTGTGTGTACACCTAATATTTATTCCCGAATACTGCAACTTATAATAGCATGCAAGAGTGGATTTGTGGGTTGGGGGGGCACTGGCACTGAACTGTCCCCGGAGGTTTTTTTAGGTCACCTAGAAAACAAAAATTTCCCCAAACCCAGACCCCTTAGGATAGTGTGACCCCCTCTTCGGACGTCTCTGGATCCGCCCCTTGCATGTTCAATTCAGTGTTCTTTTTTCACATAATTGTGAAAGTGCACAATATAAATATGATATAAACATATATAAAAACAAGAAATATTTATTTAACTTGTAATTATCGTTTTTTATTTTCTTCTTTTCATGTATTTCATGTACAATCATCAATAATTTTTTAGTACACTGAATCAATGTTTTTTATAGCTATGATTGAACAACCCTTCAAGATTTACTTTTGTATGGTAGTCTAAATTTTTTTTAATTATAATGAAAATACAAATTTATACTTGCGAGTACTATTTCCCGCTAATGTCAAAAGCAAGGTATTAAAAAAGCCTACATGCTATTCATACTAATATGGTATTTTGAACCTGCCGATCTACAGGATTCTGTTAAACTATTTTGAATTGGAAGCATTTCAATATGATTTAGAACCCTCTCATCCAAAATACTGTAGTTGAAACACACCATTAGGCAAGATTTTTTATATAAATGTATATATATACATGTGTATATGTATATATATATGTATATGTATGTATGTATGTGTATATATATATATACACATATATGTATGTATATGTGTGTATATGTGTATGTATGTGTATACACATATATATATATACATATATACATATACATATATACACATACTGTACATATATATATATACATACATATATACATACAAGATCTGACGTCAGCCAAGAAGTGATTTAGCCTTTCTCAAACAAACCTGCATGTTTAACTAACAAACAAAGGCAAATGATATACGTAATTATAATGCACATTTGGAAAAATATATTTCTTCAAAATGAAATACTTCTATGCAACAAATTCCATTCACTCACCAAGCTGTCTACTTTAATCATAAACCACTACATGTATATCTTCATAATTACAGTACAAAATATTTCAAAAACATACGTACACAACAACCCCTACAACAACCATATTTCCTTTAATATCACTGTACACGACATCACACCTTTTCTAACTGTTAATGTGAACATAACAAAAAAGGTCTGTGATGATGCATATAACTTTAAACCTTTTTTTATGCTCAATACATGTAACAACACTCCACACAACCTCCACTCACTAACAGCACTTAAACATTGCCAGCTATTGTCAAGTGGGCTATTGCATCATTGATGCTCTCGTTTATAACTTGTTTCGCTGCCCGCCTGTAATAATCTTGAATAAAAATAAAATTTTATTTTTGGCCAGTTAGCATACCTGCCACCACTATAAAAATGGAAATGTTTATTTGTTTTTATTACTTCTGCTTCCCCCTTGAAATCTCCCAAAAAAGGTACAGAACCTTATAATCCTATATTAATTAAAGTAGGGTAAAGAGCTTATTGTAGCTGCAGAATCCAGGGGGATTTTTCGCATTGACCCCTCCACTTAAGCTTTCCTTTTGGTATGGTACATCTAGACCATTATTGAAAAGAATCCATTGGAATGAGTCTACAGAATTGTGGTTTATCCTTTGCATGTTAATTAGTATGGCAACAGTGGCGGATTCAGGCATAAAAGAAAATTATAGTTAAGTTTAGGTCTGAGAGTACCATATCCGGGCATGTAGAGGTGCTATACTCATAAGTTTTCTTTACACTCTCCGTCTGTAAAAGTCGCTCCATTGGTCCCCCTGGATCCGCCACTGGTTAAAGGACTATTTGTATTAGCATAAAACTGACAAATTCAATTACACATTTTGAATGGCTGAATCGGCATACAGTACTTAAGTTATTCAATTGAAAATTTGAATGGGAAAAAATGTTGTCAAAAATGGACAGTTGAATAATACCTTGAATTGGTTGGTAATAAATTCAAATATTTTTTGTAGTAAAATGCCTATAAATCAGCAAGTCAATAAAATATTTTATTGTTTAAAATGAGTTATTAAAAATTTTACTTGAATTTTTTAGGTGTTTTTCAGTTCTTCTGGCAGACAGTATATCTTTAATAATATTACAAAAAAAAATCATCATATTAAAACATTTTGCCATTATTTTGTTGCTTTCCTTATGTTGGTATAATGACTGTACTGTATATGTGTTTGGAAGTAGGATCTTTAATTAAGATGATAATGTAGAACTTGAATTGATAGAGTTATATGCACAATTAAATATGTTAATGAGTTAACAGTATTATCAGATGATGTGTTCTGTTTTCATTAATATCATGCTTATAGAGTACCACAGATAATAAAACGAAATGCGTTCCAATATAATTGAAAATAAGCACACCAAAGTCAGATGCGCAATAAATTTACAATGTACGGCTTGACTTCATTCCTACACACACATTTTATAGTATTTAATCAACCTATTGTTCCAAAAGTGTAAAATATATTTTATTACAATTTTTGTGATTGATTAATCTTCGATAAATCAAATTGAAGCCATATGGCCCAAATATGACGTATGTGTTCACGACTTCGTCTCCAGTACCTCTTCAAAATCATGACTGGTGAAGGCGTGATCACGGGAATGCAGCATAAATTGCTGCTTGCGTATAGAAGCGTTTTATACAGAATAAATATGTAATAACTACTACATTTTTTTAATTATTAATCAGCATTATTGCTGAATATTTAGGATAAAACATAAATATCTACAAATCATCTACCTATATTTACAGTTTATACAAAGTCGGACACATTTATAACCACTTTTTTCTTTGCTTTTGAGAAAAATATAAAAATTCTAGGAATATAAATATAAAACATAGAATTTTACATTAAAATTACTCAGACAGTATTTTCATTTGTAGTCTTTCTTGGGTTCAGGGAGATTACTTTCGATTCGGTTTTCCTCCTTCAAGTACGTTCAAAAGTTTCCCTCGTGTCATTTCGCGTGCTGAAATAGAGATAAGTCATCAAGCTAAATGTAATTGCTATCGTCTCAGTATTGTTGAATCACTCATGTTGAGTACTGTACCTATGTATATTCTTGTATTTATGGACTTTTCGGGAGTAATCAAGCTGAACAGGGCCAGAAATATGCACATGTCTGCATTTCCTATAAACGCACGCACGCACACACTGTCTTTTTGACCCTAGCAACAATATCCAAGGGGTGGGGTTTATGGAAAGGTCAGTTGTTGACCCTCTTTACAGACGACTGTCATACGAGGTAGCGTGTGCCCGGATTTATATGTATTTGTATCAAGTCATTTTTGCACAGAATGAGTTGACTATAGCTGAGCATTGGGAATACATAACATTACATAGGATGCATGCCATCACAAAAACAGCACACTGTCGCTCTAGGTTAAACCAAGTACTGTAATTAGCATAAGAATGTGCCAGTATTGTACACTTTAGTACAGAGAAGCTGTAATACTTTTACGCATAACTTTGGAAATAATAAATAGATTCTAGAAAATGACCCATCATTTTAAAGCTTATAATATGGAGAATAAGAATATGTATCTTTTTTTTTCATTATTATTATAATTATTATATTTATTATTACTACTACTATTATTATTATTATTTTTATTATTATTATTATTACTATATGTAATTGAAGTGTAATTTTTTTTTTGTCTAATTTTATTTGGGGTCACTATGAGACAGGTTTTATGTGGTAGTTTGGCACAACGGTTGGGGCTCAGACTTTCAATCATAAGGTCGGGGTTTCGAGTCTCCGCTGTGCAGATTCGCTTGTGTCCTTGCGCAAGGCACTTTAGCTACATTGCTTCAGTCCACCCAGCTGTATCAATGGGTACCAGCAATCTGCTGGGGACAAACCTGCGATGGACTAGTGTCCCGTCCAGGGGGAGTACAACTCTCATCCGCTTCACACTACAGAAACTGGGGATAAGCTCCAGCCCTATGAGCCCCAGTGGCTCAGAAAGGATTTAGTTAGTTAATGAGACAGGTTTTACTTCTAATTTTGATCCCAGTAATGGTCTTATTATTTATATCAAACATAACAAAAGTTTATTATGTATTTCATAATATCTATTATTGTAATTTTCTTCTTTGACCATTATGCAATAAATGTTAATGAATCTGAAAAATATTAAAAGGCCAATTTTCATTTTTTTAGTCACTGATGCTGATTTTTGCAATGGCAAGCCTCATACAATACTATTTCCATGTGAACTTCTATTCAACAAAGTATAAGATTATGTGAACTTACATTCATCTAAACCTAGCTGATAAGCTAGATTCTGAAGATCTCGGACTTTTTCCATTAAATTCTTAGTTGTTAGACTTCCAAGCTCTAGAATAATAAATAAAATAATATTAATTGTATTGATATGACTAGTGTTGATACACTACAACAAAATCATTCAAACAAATAATAACCATGATACTCAGACCTGTTACCAGGTTCATGGGAAGGGGTTCCCCTATAGGCCTATGTTTCTTTAATAAACAAAGTTCTGATAAAATGATACTACAGTAGTTCTGTCAAATTCCCGCCCCCCACATCCCCCAGTTACAGGCTTGGTACTGTATGTTGATTGAAAAACTTCTATCACTGGATTGTTTCTTAAGCAGTGCAGTTGTGTTAATATAACCCACAATTGCATTTACCATACACCTGTTTACTGAAAACTTGTGACAGTAGAACCCCTACTAAGGGGACACTTTGGACCAAAAAAATTGTCCCCCCATAATAGGGGTGTCCCCTGAATAGGGTTAAAATATATATTTTCTCTTGTTTTGTGGCCAAAAAAGTGTCCACTTAATAGGGGTGTTCCAACGGAGGTGAAGAAGAGCATTCCAGAGATGGGGAAGCTTGCCATGATGACATGCTGTCTCACCTGTCAACATATCGATGTCATTTTGTTCCAAATCCGATTCCCATGGCGGTGATGTGTGTGATGTTATTGGCTAAAACAAAAGACAAACACAATTATTATGAATTTCCTAATCTTACAATAAAATGCACAATTTAGTGTTTATTTTGCCAGCTGAAACTCAATTTAGCCTACCCTTAGGGTTGGAATGCGCCCTCACTAAACCATTACAAAAATACTTTGTAAACAAATAGGCGTACTACTGGCTAAATAAACACTACCTAAAACAGATAACAATAAATAATCATTTTTGTCCATTTCATTTCCAAATACAAATAATTATTCAGATTGTTTTTTACACTTACACTTTCCATTGCAGCAAAATCGGAAATCCCAGGAACTAAATGAGTCAGAAGAAATGATAAGAAATTCAAACAATTAGTTTCGTTTAATGAACAACACAAGCTTGCATAGTTATTGAGATAAGATAAGGGGGAGAGATTCAGATGTAGCAAGGAATTTTAAACAGTTTAAAAGTCCTTGGCTGTATGTTCAAACGTTAAGATATTTTAAATTTCAGATTTATTCAATGGCCTCCAAGTAGAACATATAAAATTTAATAATATATAGATATACAGTAAAATATAAAGAATAAAAAACGACAAAAATTCAATGAAATGGACATCAATATATTAAAATAATAATATGATAATAATATAATAATTTTTAGCAAATAGAGACTCCAAACTAGATCTCAGAGACCTCTTAGGAGTATAAGGATTAATTAGTTGCGAAATAAAAATTGGTGAGAAATTATGAAGAGATTTTAAAATAAATAACAAAATCTTGAAAGTGATTCTCTGTGTTACAAGAAGCCAATGAAGGTGCCTTAACACAGAATAGACAGAATAAAATACTTCTCCATGACATCATAGATGTTAAGCTCCAAAAATTAACTATACTTCTTAAGCCTCCAAATCACATATTCAGCTAGTTCCCTCCTGTAATCATTAAATTACTGTAGTTGGTGTTAGAAGAATGTTATGTTTTTTGGTTTTTTTTATGGAAAATAAATCAATACACTACTTACTTTGTTCCTGCCATAAGTCTGGTGAGGCCCTATCCAACTTTTCAAAGCTTAGAAGGGTCTTCTCAATTTCTGTGAAGATATTAATAACATAAAACTTGTATACCATAAAACCTTGAATAGAAGCCCAATGGGCTTAATCTTGAGAAGAAACCTATCTCGGAAAAAAAAACCCATGGGCTTCTTTTCAAGAGAGCATGGGTATCTTTCGAGATAGTACAGTACATACACTGTACATGTATTCAAAGAAACAAAACAAAAATTTAAAAACAGCTTAGTTTAAACCAGGGGCAGGCATAGAAATCAGTTGGAGGGCCAAAGTGAATTTTTGGTTTAACATCGACGCCCGCACCCAAACATTGATGTTTCCAGTGAGCTTCCAAAAACCTTGAAGCACTGCTTCTACACCACTTTATTCTCAGTTTAAATGTTACCTTTTACATATGATCGGTGTCGGGCCGTAAAAACACTTTTCTGGCCACTGTCGCTTGGCGGGCCACACACATGGGGTTTTTAATTCATTTTCGCGGGCCGCAAAAAATCGCTGTCAGGTCGCATGTGGTTTATACAGTACTTTAGGTGATTTTATTTTAGTTTATTTCTTCAATCAGAGATGTATAAAAACATAAAACAAAGACAAAGTCAATTATAACATCAATTATAAAAATAGCCATAAAAATATAAGTATTAATATCAGGCCTTGGGCCGAGCTTAGTCTTTTTAGAATTTTAAATCTAATAAAAATATACAATTACAAAATTATCAAAAATCAAACATTTGTTATTTTTTGTTTTTTGTTTACTGTACAATTCTTTGATTGTATTGTAGTCCTAGCTATAGTTCTAGCCTCTGCTCAACAATTTTAACAGGGCTTAGACCTAGACTTGAGAGTCTAGGCCTACCCTACTTCTTGGGATAGGCCCTAGCCTAGGCTTGCAGCCCGTCGGCGTCTGGCTGGGCAGCCTGTTCTTTCTAGGCCTAGGCTAGTTAGGACCTAAATAGGTTGGCCTACCTAGGACTCCAACTAATTAAATAAACTTCCAAAATTGGGAAACGATGTCTAAGTTTATCAACTATGTACTGTATTTAATAACAGCAAATACTGCGTAAATTAAACAAAAACTTATTGAAACCTACCCGCACTTGGTGATGCCATTTTGATTTGATGTTAGTTTGAGAGTTAGCGCCCTCTGCCGAGGAAATGACTTGCACACATTTTCAGAAGTTTAGGCGCGCGGATCCATTAGGACTCAGGAGGGGGAGGGGGAGGGGGTAGACGCCGTACAGCATCTGTATTATCACAATGAGCTTCGACAAGGCTTTCAAATTGGGATGTTAACCAACTTGAAAATGTTACTAAAATTTTGAAATCATGGAAATCAAAGGAAAGTAGGCATAGGCCTAATTAAATAATAACAATAAGCATAAACTATGGTTATATATAAAGAAGTTGACAATGCAATAAAGTTTAGGAAAAATGCTTCACGAATACACAGGAAATATCCTAAAAGTAATGACAAAGACGATGCTACTAGTGAATTTCTATTGAGAAATTATCTGAATAAGCCTATGCCAAATCCTTAAAACAAAACAAAAAATAGTAAAATCAACCATAATTGCAAATATAGGTGGACCAAGTTGTGGGAGTCTCTTAGAGCTTCAAAACAAGGATCAAATGGTCAATTGTATAAAATCACCTTAAAGTTATTACGGAACAAAATAAACTTAATCAGAGAGCAAACAACATTGGTAAACATTAAAATACATGTGAATACTGATCGCATCATCAATACTATCAATATAATAATTTAATAGCCTACTTATATTTAGAAGATTCGTAATGAGTGAAGTTTAACAAAGGTTTATCAGACACTACAACTGAACCTACAAAAATTTGATTTAAATTTCTTAAAAGATATTGAATTCGGTAGAGATATTGTTTCACTTGCTCTGGCACATACCAAAACTAATAAGGTACTAGGCCAGGATGGTATCATCACAAACTCGAGCTTTTGAAGAATGGTGGTGATTATTATTGAGTCATCACTTTGTTACATGTTTCAACAAATTATGCAATTGGAGGAAATTCCAACTGAATAATGGAATAAATCTATTATAAAAAATTCCTTTATTTAATAAAGGCAGTAGACCATAGATTTAGATAATTACAAAATAATATCTTTGACCTCATGTATCTAAAATTTTCAATAGAGTTCAGTTATTGCTTTTTCAATATAATTTTCTGGAAGAGGAAAATGTCCTTTCGGAAGTTTAGGGAGGTTTTCGGTCTCAACATAGATGAGGACCATATTTTCACAAGCGGCATTATGTGGAGAATTAGGTTGGACGCCTGGACGCCATTATTGTCCATAACCCACAATAGGCCTATATCAAGAAAAATATTTTTACCGCTTTAGAATGGATGTGCTCGTGAACGATGTCCTAACATAGTGATTAGATCACTTATTAATTATTTTAATTCATATCACATGAAATTCCGTTATAAATCTGTTAAAATCAGTTAAAAGTATGGTACTCTTACTAATATGATTAATAGGCCTAATAATTAATATATTGTTCATCCTATAATAATTGGTTTGTGACATTAAAACAATTTTTTTTGGGAAAATACTAACAAAAATGGTTATAGGCCCTATTTAACATTACACAAAGTCAAAATCTAAACTTTGCCTTGAATGTTACTTCCTTGACAGAGCCACTTTTAATGGTGCCCGTCTCAAATTTGAAGCTCGTTAATACTCGGCCTCTGGTTAAATTAAGTAAATGGACCGAAGATAATTGATGGCCTTTGTACCCTATGTAACTCTGGAAGATCTCATTCATTATTTATGGGTATCAATTAAAAATAGGCCTACGATTTAATTACCTGTAATGAAAATGATATATGGGAGATATTCTGCTATAGCAATTATGAAAACAAACTTTCATATGTTCTTGGGGGGATTCACTTTTTCTAAATATGTTGGTGGAGTTTCGACAGTTTTTTTGGAAATTTTACACAATCATGGCAAAAACGAAAAGAACTGAAATTTCTTACATTTGCAAATTTGATGTTTTTTGTATTGCTGCGGTATATCCAACTTCTTTCATTTTCATTTTGCAATTTAATTTGTGATTTTTATGGTTTTCTTCATACTTGTGATCTTATTTTTGTTTGTGAACCCACCTAGAATGAGCGTGTGCCACCCGATTTCAATGTGTTTCATTAATCGATTATATGTATTGAGCCTATTATTAGAGGGGGATATTACAAGTCACACACAACACACACGCACACCTCCACCACCACTGCTGTTAGTCCACACATTTTAATCGCAATGAAAGCGGCACAGAAAAGGGTTTCTGCATTTACTGTTTTTAAAACACGTTCAAAGGTAGGCTTCGTGCCGGCTTCGTTTTCGCAAGATAACCAGTTAATTTAGTATAATTTTATATATATATAAAGTACTGTTAATTTGCTAAACAAACCATATGTTTAACTTTACTCCACAACTAACTAACTAGGGCCTAGGCCTGCAATACTCAGCTAGCCCGCTACTACTAGGCCTGCCCTTGAGCAACACCCAGTCGGGAAGTTGCCTAGGCCTAGCTAGCCATGCCTACAGTACCTACCGTACCGTCCTAACTGACTATCTAGCTAGCCTAGTTAGGGTAGTTGAATTCTTATTTGCATGTATTAGCAGAAGAGTAAAACAAACTAATTTCATAATAAATATACGTATGTAGGAATAGGGCCTAGGCCCCCTAGGCCTAAATAGCAAAAGTAATTTTATTTTATGAAAACCAAAGTTCTGAATGGTGGAGTTGGCAGTGGCTTAATATCTTTGCTGTCTTGAAAGTAAATATAAGAGGCAAATTTGCTGCATTGCTGCATAATTGCATTGGTTACAATATTAAGATTTGGTCAAAGCCTAATTTTCGGCAAAATCTGTGCAGAAATCGGCCCTTATTTTCCAAAATGCACGGACAGATTACTAGGCCAAATTTTTGCGTGGAGGATATATTCCATGTGCAGGCCTTACTATACAGTCTGGATCTATGGCAATCAATGCTGTGTCATAAGTACGAACATACTATATAGCAGAGAGATGTAGTTTAATGTACAAATATTTTTATATTGGTGGTACCCAGTCTTACATGGCAGGGCTAATTAGAAAATAATTTCACCATCAATTAACAAAAAGTCCAATTATCCTTCCTGTATTATTTTACAGAGACCCTAATATAAATTTACTAATGAATTTGAGGATTTTATAGTAAAATATCTCTAAATCAGTGAAAACTAATATATTTTTTATTATTGTTTCAGGTTGGAATTTAATTACTTATTCTTTTTATCCTTTTTTTTTTTTTTTGCGGACAGTGCACTGTACTGTAAACAAACCATTCCTTGGTTTTACTATTTTATGCTTTGCATATTAGGTCTTTATTTAGTATACTTTTAATTTTTTTTTTAAAGGAAAATGTCAACGATGACAATGAAAACAACAAAAGTATGACCAAGAAAACAAAACAAACTGCCAAAAAGCTGCGTAGCTCATTGAGGCTAAAGCCCAAATCTGGAAGACCATCATGCCTCCCGGATAGTGCGGTTACTCCTGCACGGAAGAAGTCGAAGAAGTTGAAAATGAACTCTAGTAGTCATTCTTCTAATGATCGTGGTAGCGTATCTAGCCTTGTTCACACGCCGGTAGTGGAACTTGGTAGGTTCGATATTTACTTCAAGTTTTAAAAAAATTGTCTGTTTTTTGCTTCTTGAGCAACTGGAACATTCACCATTGATTTACCATTTACTAGAATAAATGCCCTTCTCGAATACACAAAATCTACTCCCCTCTCTAGAGCCTCATTTGAAATAAATGCCTCCCTTGAATACATTCCCAGGGCATTTATTTTTTCATTGAATAACCGTCCCATAAATGAAAATTAAAAAAAAAAAAAGTCATAGATGAAAATCAACTGAATAGAAGCCAATTTATCAAAGAACGTTTCACCCATAAGCATTAAATAGAATTTTTTGTAAATAGCATTCAGTTTTCCTTTTTTTTTTTTTTTTGTGCTTGGTAATTGTTTGTACACAGGTCCCTCATCACAATATGCAGTCTATTAACGCCAACATAATGTCAATGGCTGCCGAATGTCTGAAATCAGACAGGTACCAGTAAATGAGTGTAAACAAATCTAATGGAAGCAGCACTATTCTCAACACATTCTATTAATGTTTCTACTCCAGTAGAATTACGTTTTTTTTTTTTACCTTGGTGGGATCGATGAGTCTTTATGATCACATACACTAACACATTTTGACAGTAATTAATGTGTTGTAGATTTTAAACATTTACAGTGAAATTAAGGGACATTTATTTGAGTATGCGTATCCATGTTACACAAAAAAGAATAAACGCCTTTCTCGAATACACGCTCCTCAAAACCCTCAATAAATGCCCTGGGGCATTTATTTGAATAAATGCAGTACCTGTTTAATTTTAAAATCACCTGACCACAGTAGGGACTACTGTTCGGTTGGCTAAAAGCTCAAATCACCTGCCCAAACAGGTTATTGTTAAACTTGCATTCATATACATTTTATTTTGCTAATTTATCTGTGTATACTGTAGCTATTTATGTGCATTGTATAGCCTGATTTTCTTTTGGGTTAACTTATAGATCATTTTTTAAAAACCATTTTTTAAATACCTTTTTTAATGCCTTTTAAATGCTTTTAAATCTTTGTACATGCATGCTTCTTTTTTTTCCATTTATATCTATATATATTTTTATATTAACTTGTTAACTTTGCCTTGCCGTTGTTTTGTATTTTGCACTTTTTTTTACGCGAGGGCCCCGTGATTGTCAGCTAACCGCTGTTTTGGGTTTCCCTCGGTAAATAAAGTTTAATAAAATAAATTAAAATAAAATTGTTCTTACCATAGCTAATAGAATTAAATTTAATTTCTTACTATACCATTGTTTGTGTTTATATGTTACGCAAATTTTGCTTAGCCTCTGTTCTCAATAAGCCAAAATAGCTTTGCTAAAGAAGATTCCAAGGAACTACAAGTGAAGTAAAGAACAGTGGTGGATTCAAGGGGGGGGGGGGCAGCTGGCCCAGACTAAGTTATTAAAATATTTTTAAAATGGAGAAAAAAATAAAATTATATTCAAATTTAAGTATGAGAGTTTTATTTCCAACCATCTTGCGGTGCCATAATCATGATTTTTCCTACCTCAACCATGGTGGGTCTGAGGTGGGTGGACCCTCCATCTTGAAAGTTACTCACTGGGCTCCCTCTATCTCTTATTCCTGGATCCGCCATTGAACAAGTAAAGTTACCTTTTTAATTGGGTTTGTTTTTTTGCAGCACAATTGATGATAATGAATCACAATATATAGATATGTTTTTCTCCTTAGACTTCAAAAACAAACAAGATAAGAAAAGGCGGAAATCAGTGAATGAAGATTGTAAAGGGAACAAAGTCAAGCAAAGGAGGTTGTCTGCTGATGGAGAATCAGATACAGACACACCTAATGTGAGTAGGACAACCATTGAATGACATCAGTGGCGGATTCAAGGGAAGGCCTATCCGGCCTGTTCCACCACCCCACGCCTTCTCCAACCCAATTCTTCAAAATTATAATAAAAATATAAAAGTCAAATTCCCATTTCAGATCATCTATGCCATAATCATAAAATTTAAAAAATTGTTTTTCCTCAATTTGAATTTCCCTCCATGGGGTCCCCACATTTTCAAATTTCTGTATCCACCACTGGATATCACAACATTATCATTATCATTATCAACGTTTCAACCTTTATTGGGCCATCTTCAAAATAAAGAAAGGGAGGCCATGATTCGACATTTCGACCTTTATTGGGTCACCATGACCCTGAAGTTTCAACCTTTATGGGGTTATCATGACCCATAAAGGTCAAAATGTTTAATCATGGCCTCCCTTTATTCTGAGTAATGTTTGTTCTAAGCATATATAAATAAGGAAAGAACAGTCATCTTGATATTGTAATTGGGGATCTTCTTAATAATTCAACACTCACCACATGGGGAGCACTGCTGGCTGCTGTAACTATAGGGATTGTCTCCGAAGTTCCTTTTTTTTTTTTTGAAGAAAATGTTTTTCTTGCTAATTTTTCACTAGACAACCAGGAAACATCAGGAGATATATAGGCTAGCCCGCAGTGGCTTTTACTAGACATTGTACGCCGGGCTAGTACTAAATCGAGCCCTGTTTATTACTACAGAGCTATTCATAACTAAACTTGCCATTAAAGAGTTTTGATTTGAATTTCAGAGAGGCCAATCAGATCCTTTGCAATCTACAGTATCACCAAAGCGATTTTTATCTGGTAGCGAACTTGAGGACAGTGGTGAGGAGGCGGAAAAACTATTTGAGTGGATGATAGGTCCAGTGGAACCGGAAAAATTTTTCAAGTGAGTTTAAACTAGATAAAAGTCTTTTATTTGTACTTTTTGCTTCTTCATACTTTAAGTATTTTTAATATTTCACTATTTAATAGAGAACCAATGAAACATTTACATCACTAGTTAAAAATACAAATTATCTGTTTATATTATTATATTTATTTCTACATATATTTATATGTAGAAATCTGTGGGAACGAAAACCGCTGTTAGTAAAACGCCACATGCCAGATTACAACAGTATATGGTTCAGCACCGAAGAATTGAATAGAATTCTTCGCGAGGTAAGCTGTACAGTACACAATTTCTTTACAATAATTTCTTTTCTTTTTGCATAGCCATCAAAATTGGCTGGTAATCAATTTTAACCTTTTTTTAGGTAGTTGCTATTGTTACACCGTTCTTAAACAAATTCCTAATTTTTATTGTATGTTTGTTATTGTATGTATTGATTAGACAAAAACATCTAATCACAATTACAAATTTTGATGAGACTGGCATAACAATAGTCACTGCCTTTTTAAAATAATACTTTTGTAAATATAAGTTATAATTTGATTTGTATAGCACTGGAAATTAATTACTTACTAAACCTTGTGAGCGTCTTTCTCTACCCCAATTCTCTTTTAGGTATTTGCTATTGTTACACCGGTCTTAAACAAATTCCTAATTTTTATTGTATGTTTGTTATTGTTTGTATGGATTACACAAAAACATCCAATCTTTTGTAAATATAAGTTATATTTTGATTTGTATACCATTGAAAATTAATTACTTACAAGACCATGTGAGAATCTTTCTCTACCCCCTCCCTTTTTCTTGACCCCCTGCAGATTCCCCCGCTGGCCCCACTACTTTGCCTTTAACAACTGCAATTAAAAATCTGTGTAAATATTCATCTTTGTTATATTTTTTTTAGGAAGATATTCAGTTCACCGTCAACCTTGATGTTACAACATACACCGATGGCCGCCGAGAAACGCACAATCCTCAAGGCCGGGCTCATGCACCTGTTGTGTGGGACTATTACCAGGTGAGAGTTATTATTATCATTATCATTATTAATATTGTCAACATTATTATCATCATTGACATTACTATAATCATATGTTATTTCTATTGGTTACACTTCACTGCTCAGCATTGTTTGTCATTGATCGAACATGTCTACCGCAGCGTGAAAAGGCGTATTATCATCATCATTAATATTATCATTATCATATTACAGTCGTCATCATTACCATTAATATTATTATCCTTAAGATTGAGATTATTCTTATCACCATCATGAAAATCATTATCATAATATCATTATCATCTTCATCATCATCATTGTTATTTGTAGTGAGGTCTGTATTACCTGCTTTTAAATGAGTCTTAATAGGCATTACTGTATCTCTCATAATAGTTCTACTGTATTTTGTTTTATTATTACTTATTGTATTGGTGTAGATATAATTATTTTGTTAACTTTGTTAACACTCATTGTCAAAATATAATATTTACAATCTTTGAACATATCTATAAAGATGGAGCATTTGTTGTAGCCACATTCTTCGTTCTACTTTTCAGAATGGCTGTTCCGTTAGATTTTTAAACCCACAAACTTTCTCCCGTCCTGTATGGAAACTATTATCAACACTACAAGAGTTTTTCAGCTGCGGGGTTGGTGCAAATGTGTAAGTGTTGTATGCCCATATATAGTGATGATATACCTATATATGGTCATGATGTGATGTCATTATGACCATATTTAGGTATTTGATAGTCTGGACATGGCGTGTAATGCTTTGGTTTGTTTTTTTAGTAGAAATGTTTATTTCAGAATTGGTATATTTAAACAGTAGTATGTGTAATAAGGTTCTATAGCAAATTGGCTTCTGCCATCATATGCAGGGAAAGTATGTATAGTTTCCCCTATGGGTAATTCCATGTCAAATCAACCAAAAAAAAACCTCAATCTCTCGGAATTTGTTCAAATTTTTGTATGTTGTTGGGACCCATGAAAAATGATCAGAAATGAAAAATTTTTTCTCTAGGCCTCCTAATTAGCGAGATATCTGCTAACGAACTTTTGGCTAATTAGCGAAACCTTGCGTGTTTAACCGACCATATCTCGAAAAGCGTGGCACTTACAGAGCTGATTTTGGTGTCATTTTAAAGCTATTGAGTAGCTCTATAACTTTATTAATAAATGCTAAGTCCTCAATTCAAATATAAAAAAGTTATGACAGGTTGTAAAGTTCAAAGTTGAATAAAAAAATATATATCTTTTTTTTTTTTTGAAATTCATGTTAGAGATACCTAATGATGTAAAGAAGCTCCCCTATAAGTTTGGTGATGGGCGCTCCAAAAGTTCCTGAACAATGAGCAAGTATTATGTATACTTGTCAATTCGAAATTGCATTTTCCGTATAATAACACAGTATTGTACCTATATAGGAAAACCAATTCTTGTAGACTATATGTATATAGGTAATTATCATGCTGAATATTAAATAGATAGATTGATTTGTTTGACAATAAGTTTGACCAACTATAGTAACTCTAAAATCTGGACTAAGTGTAGCTAATTATTATTCTGAATATATAATTGAATACCGTGATTTGTTTGACCAAAGGTTAGTAAAGCAATAGTAAGTCTATAATATAGACAAGTGTAGCTAATTGTTAGCTACACTTAGTCCAGATTTTAGAGTTACTATAGTTGGTCAAACTTATTGTCAAACAAATCAATCTATCTCTTTAATATTCAGCATGATAATTACCTATATACATATAGTCTACAAGAGTATTTGGTTCATTTCTGTTTTGTTGTTTGTTAACTGATGATGGGTTGAAGGTAA